TTCAAAATTGCTTCTTTTTACGATCTTGGAATTTCCTGTTTTTGTTAAGAAAGTCTGTTTAATACTCATTCTCTTTAAAATCTTCAAAAGATGAATTTATAATATATTTAGAATATTTTAAACTTCAACGCACGAGCCCAAAGAACAAAATTTTAATTATGAGAATTTTAATCATCAATATTAAGTTAACGCTCCAAGAAGTATTTTCTTCTAAATCATCAACCTCATTAGCTCATCTAAATGTTAAAGTCTCATCTAAATTCATACAAATAGACAATGAAAATTATACAATCAGAATTATTAATCTAAAGTCATCATCACATTTCTTAGTGTGTAAAAATTAATTATTTTAAATTATAAGATATAAAATATGGATAAAGTTAGCCACAAAATAGCGTTAAATAATTAAGATTTTAATATCGTGAAATGCATGCAAAAGCATGTGAAACGAATGACATAAAGAGCGACGATGGGATTTCTGATGACTCAATTAATCATTCCAATGAAATTTCGGATGTTTTTAAGTAGTTTCTTCTTTATAGGAGGCATGAACTGCGAGGCATAAAATTAGGGTTTTCAATCCTGGGATTCTGGATTGAAACTTGGATCTGGATTGAAAACCTTGGAATGATTATGTGCCATATAAAAATTTAAAATCGGATTTGAAAAACCTAAACCTGGAATGATTGTACACCATATAATAACTTAGGGGTTTCAATCACGAGATCCCGTGAATCTTCTTGCAATTCTCAGTCCCGTTTTCCCGGAATCGAAAATTTTGGCAGAGATTAGAAACCCTACATAAAAGTGTCTTAGAAATTATTGACCTTTCAATGCAAAAAGTATTCATGTGAATTCCTGAATTAATTTTTTTTTTAATCACACGCTTTAAAGACTTGAATATTCATTCAATTCCAAATGTCATGGAATAAATTAATGCTTAAAGTTTTACTTTTCTCAAATGTAGATTGGCCTAATTTATTTGCAATTATCTCCTGTTTAATTTAATTTTAGCATTTGCGTGGGAGTCTTCAATGACACTTAGCAAATTATTCCAAACCAACAGATTATCTCCGCATTGATAAATCTCACTTCTTAGTCAAACAAAATCAACAACTTATTTTTTGGCTGACAAAAGTTTTCACAACTTCCAAAGTGGCAATAATCTATTTATTGCCGTGATTTTTATTACGTAATTATTGCGAATATTTTTCTTTCTGTCTCTTTTATTTATCCTCATCATCTGCTTTACAAATTTTTATTTTCTTCTTCGTCACTTTCTTGCCGTAGATGGAGATTAAATTTTTTGCGAATGTCTAGACATTTTTAAAATGCCTTTAACCGATTCAAACAGCTAGATTGATTGTAGAAAAACAAAGTCAGTTATATTCCCATGTGACTCTCACGTGAATCATTTGCTTTTTGTGATATTTGTCCTTACGCATACGTAATGTGGTTCCATATATTAAAAGCCTGAGAAATTATTAGCTTAAAATTCATAACTGCATGACTTCATCCGTCGTTGCGGAAAGTTCAAAGTTTATTTATATAAAAGAAAGGTGTTAAGTGGTGAATCAAATCCAAACTTTCATATAAGTAGGTAGGTTTTATAAAGTTGAGCTGCATTAAAGAAAGGACATAAACAGAGTCAATATTAATTGAACTAGAAGTTTTAGATATTAAAATTCAAATTTAATCTAGAATATCTCCCGAAAAGGCAATCATTTCTACAGTTCAACGAATATGACAGTCACATTACGAAAGTTCATTAATTCTTTAATTGTTCCTCCTTCTCATTGTTTAAACCAATTAAATTCTGAACTTCCATTTTTACATCAAAATGTCTTCAATAAAATTTCTATAAAAGATTTTTTATTAAAATATACAGTCCATTAACACTATCTAAATGTAGGCAGTTTAAAGCTGAATCATAAATAATTTTAATTAACTGTTTACAGATTAATTCAATAAAGAAGCCTCTACCTTATATTTATAAAATGGTCTTCATTGATAAAGTATGAGTATGGATTGTTGTTTTACAGGATTTTTAGCACATCACTCGTAAGTAATGCAATTCGGTGACATAAATATTAAAGTTTATGCATTTGCTTTTAATCAGATAAAATGTAATTTACCTAAATTGGCTATTAAATGAAAACAATTCAAGATAATATCAAAATGCGCTACAATTAACATAAAATATCATTTAAACTCATATCGTCATTTCCATTTTTTTCAATAAACCACATTAATTCGTGCTTATACAATAAGCATGAGAAAGAAGTATGTAAAAGAAGAATTTGTGTGCGAGAAGATGAAATCGAAAGTATTGCAAAGCCACGATCGTCTGGATCAAAAAAAAGAAGAGTTTTTAAGCCATCGTGTGACAAGATTTTTATTTAAATGAAGTTTATAAATATATAGCCGTTAGTGAGCAGTCCAATACATCAAAGCGGTATCATACCAACTTTTTTTTATCTATCCACAGTCATATGAGAGAGAAAAATGTTTCAGAATTGAGATTAGGTGGCAAATGATGTGAGAAATGTCAAGGTTGTTAAGCATTTTTCTCATTTTGCTTTTAACTTGCTGTTTCATTGACAACAGTTTTTTTTTCCTCTCTTCTTTCTTCTTCATTCACCATTATAAATGGCTTTTTTTGTTATAATTTTTTCTTAAGAAGATATAAAAGTATTTAAGCGCATAAGTGATTTTAAGCAGATTGGCATGTTGTCATTGTTGTCGATCCTTCCATTCTGCAACAAAAATTGAATATTTAATAAATGGTCTTGTAATGTTTATGAGAAACGTTGTCATTGCAAAATCAGATGCAGATGAGATGGTTAATTTTTAATTAGCTATCAGAAACAGTCATTATTTGTAGGAAGACATAATGTTGAATACACTTTGCATGAAGAAATTCTAGGAAAAATTAGCTGAATAATTTTTCCATAAAGTTGTTTCTAAAAGTCATTAACGTTTGATTTTAGGTAGGATTAACATTTTTGGGTAGGATCTAAGTGAGTTACTCAACCTTTCCTGAGATATAGTTTTCTTAGATGAATCTTGTTTCTTGGACATCCATTAATGACGGCATTAAATAATCTTACCAATCTCAAATACCACAGACAAGAAAAAATTTATTCAGGTTTAGGTCATAATAATCTTGAATCAATACACCATTGTACGATGTATGTCATCACTAAATTTGAAATGTCATCATAACTTTACCCTCCTTGAAAAACTCATCGCATTCATTTGCGTAAAATTATTTTATATAAAAAATTTGTTCAATTGACACCTTCACGGAAATGCGCGACCTTCCTTTCATCTCACACGTAAAAAAAAATTTGAACTTATTTTGTATCACATTGTAAATAATTTTTTTATTGCTTCTTTATGCTTTATGGCATTAACAAGCCTCATCATCTTCATTTTACCAATTTTTTTTTATTTTATTTTACTATTTTTCGCATATTTAGGTCGCATAAATTCCCCCCTTTGCATTATTTGACAGGGCATCATCATTATGGTGCTTTTTGAATATATAAAAATAAATTTCATGATAGACATTTTGATGGTTGTATGATTAATTATGTTATTAGTCGACAAACATCGTCCTCATTGCTGTGTTGTTGCCGTTTGTCGTGATGTTACAGAAAATTATGAAATCTTAACATTTTTCTTCTTATATTTATTATTATTATTATTCGAGTGTTAATAATTTATTCTGCGAAAAATAAGCATTTATTGAAGAAGAAAAAAAAAGATAGATTTTCGTTATGCAAGCATGTGAAAAGTCACATCCAACGATTCATTCAGAAGGATTCATTTTAATTTAGTCAAATGAGCTTCTTCGATTAAGCAACTGCACATATGATTTGGCGAACACAACGACATCTTCAAGACTAACGTGAGAGTGAGAGCATTCGCACATTGCAAGCGCTCCTATGGTAGATGTGTGCGGTGACATTATTAAATAAAAAAAAAGTTCAATGGATTAACATTTTCATATATGACGATGATCATTATAACGACAGTAATATATCACATGTGTGACTCTATGGCTTTCATGTACTTAAGGAAAAACCATTGGCAATCAAATTTATTAATAAGACAGTCATCTTAACTTGCAGTGGTTGCAATGAATGGAAAAGAGTGGCAGAAACTTTGATTGTATTTTAACCTTGATAATATTTTCGATCAGAGAGGTCTTTATCCTAGTATAAACTTTTTGCTTCTAGAAATCGTTAAGTTACTTCATTTAAATATTTTACGATCCTATAAACATATGTAGTTCCTTGATCTATTTATATATTTCTAGAGAAGAATTAAAATTTGCGTGCATGGTTTCCAGTTGTGATGCTCAACTTCTTGTTTTTGTTATCGTAATCATGTTAAAAGCTTTTAACACAGATTTATGACTTGAAACACTCAAATCTGTTAATAAGTTATTTTTCCTGTTTAAAATCAACCATGAAATTTGATTATTCACCCACAATGCAATGCATCAGACAAATTCTTCTGAATCAACGAATGAGAACATCATATTGCACACAGATCCAAGAACATAACTACCAACTTACATTTTAGTTCATTGGAAAATGATGATCTGTAAGCTAGTAATGATCATGAGAGATTTTTCTGATTCCTGTTGATAGGTGCACTCATACACACACGTAATTTCCGTGGCAAATGTCGAAAAGACATAGATCCATACTCTCGAATGTAATCTGAAACTTAACAGAGAGAGAGAGAGAGAAAAATGTCAATTTATTCAACTTTAAAGTTTATTTAAATATTTTTCTTCGATCTTTTGGTTTTTGATTCATCAGTGGGTCTCGTCTACATCTATATGTATTAAAAAAACGAGAAAAAATGATGCAAATTTATGAGAAAAAAAATAATATAATGAGATGCTGGCAAACAACAACAAACGCTCATCTATAGACCGGTGGTGAATCGTGGAGGGCCACAACTCTGTGTATTGTACACATTGAATTGCTTCTCATCAGTTGATTTTTGAATTTTGTCGCGATCAAATCGGATTTTCGAGACGCTCTCGACGATTCTTTTTTTGGAGATTATTTTTCATTTAGTTTTTTTTTCACAGTTTATTTTAGTCACATCTTAATTTTTTTTATATTAAGTGATCATGTCAAAGATATCGCTGGTGAACTTATGTTTGTATTTTATAGTGTTCATTACACAAGGTGAGATGCAGATTTGCATGACAAAATTAACATTGTAGATAAATATTTTGTTTCCATTCGCGGTCCATTTAAATCACGCAAAGTGACTGAATTATCAAATCAGACGGTTAAAAATGAAAGGAAATTAGCAACTTTTTAATAAAATAAATAAAAACACGAGACCAATAATTAACATATCGTTAATAGCACGCGAGTGTGTTTTCAGTCATCACTCATTACATATTGCCAATATAAGATTTGAGTAAAATGGCTCATAAACGGCAGGAAAAGAGAGAGAAGTGATGATAAAAAGTGAAATTACGAATTTTTTTTAAATATATAATTTTTTTGAGACTCGATACGCTTATCGCCACATACATGCGAAGACAATTGAGGATGAAGCGTGTCGATGAACGAAGAAGAGTTGAAAATTTGAATATTGCATAATGGAACAGCGTTAAACAAATTTTCGAGAGACTGAGCAGAAATAAAAGACATTATATTAAACCATAACTAAATATTCAATTGATCGAAAATGATAAAAAGGCATTTTTCATTCATTTATCGATCTTAAAGTCATCTTCAATGCAAAGAAAGAAGAAGAAGAATAATTTATGAATGAAATACTTTTTAAAGCATAAATTACCTTGAAATATTATTCTTTTGTACTCACTTTGTTTGACTGGATGTTACATCTTGTGGAATTTAATTAAATTTCGACAATTTTATTAAATTTAAATCGGTTTTCTTTTGAATCCTTGAAAAAATCAAAAAATTCAAAAATTTAAAATCTTTCTCAAACATCCGGTTAGAATTTTTCATCCATCAAGACATTGAAGCAGTAAAATGCTCTCATCTTTGCTTAAAAAAATTTAATTAAACTTTTATGCAAATATTCAATAGTAAACGGAAACTATAAGTGATTCATAAATTTTGCTTATGTGGTGCATGCTTTACGCTCTTGAAAAATGCAAATCTCAAGAATGACTTCATCACTTCTTCTTGTTTTGTTGAAAATATATGTAAATAATTTAATTAGCTAAACCATGGCACAAACAAATTCAAATAACTATGAATCGCATGGTTTACAATAAGAATTTCATAGAAAACGATCGAAAAAGAAGCATTTAGTGATGAATGGCTATTATATAATAAAAGATGATGACCTTTCCAATTTATTAATATATGAATAGGTAGTAACAGCATACAAACCAGTAGTATCCTTTAACTTTGACATTCATTGAAAATGTTACGATATTTATTGCAACATTAATTGAGGAGGTCGGTGCCGTTTACATGTTGAGACGCTGAAATAAATAAACATGCCTACTGCCCAGATCAATGGATATCTTCGGGCCTTTAGCGTCTAATTAAATATGGGTTGAGTAACATGTATCCGCATTGTATGACTTCTTCAATATTTTTTTTACTATTTAATAATTTTTTTTTCTATTCAATTTTTCGTGATGAACTTGAGCATAAAAAATTATTCATTGAATTCCAAATGGCATTTCTTACAAATAATAATCAAATTCGTCTTCTTCTTCATCATCACATTCTCTTTCATCTCATTCACGTGACGATGAATGATGAGTAAACTTGAAGTAAACCCATATTTATCGTAAAAACAAGTAAAAAAGTCTTATTTGGATGCATTATTATTTTATTGGACTGTGAACAAGCTGTTAAGATTGTTTAAACTTATTTGGGATGACTAAACTAGTTTAACAATTAATTGTTTGGTTATTTTCATTACTTTTAGGTTATGGTTGAGTAAGGTTATGATTATTTGTTTTAGGAATTAGATTTTAGTGAACAAGACCTCTGACAAGAGCCATTAAATGCGATAAGATCAATAACATACTAATCTGATAAGATATCCCTAGCCGAATCATTCAGAACCAAAAAATTTGATATTTTGTTATTTGAACAATTTGACATTAAATTCATAATTTTTTAAGTCAATACAAGAATTCAACTTTTGAAATTATCCAAAAAACTGTTTCGCAAGTCTTATTTTAGATCGTATTAACAAAAATTTACCGAATCAAGTTCATCTACCAAAATAGCCAAAACAACAATGCCACGACTAAAGATGTGCAAATTAAATTTATATGTGAAAAAATCAGTGGCTGAAATGCCTGTCTGTTGCTTGTAACATTAAGTCAACAAAAAAGCAAAGTTATTTAATATCTGAGAAAATGAAATCAGAGCAGTATTAATTACCATATTAAAAAGGACATTTGTGTATGACTGTAAAGTTTTACATTTTACGATGATCAGTGACAAATTGTTATTATATGCATATCTTGTTACCTCCAAGATGTTGAATAATTGATAGATTTCCTATTTCATTGTTTTCCATCTGTCTATCTCCACGGTAGCCATCAGAACTCAAGCATAATAAATAAATTTGTTTTGAATCTGATGTCTATTGACCTTCAAACTATGCGTTGTTAAACATTTTTGACGCTTCTCTCTTCTTCTTTATTGCTTCTGTGATGATCACTACGTATACATGCATTCATTACATGAGTTGAAGAATATTTGTGTCTAGCTATAAATGTTTTAATTGCATTAACCTTTCACAAAATAAATTCTTCTTTGAAAAGGTGATAATGAGTGGCAGGTCTTTAAGCAATAATGCTGCAAAAAAAATAAGATCTTTCACAATAAAAATTCATAATTTAAAGCGTTTTAACTTGCAAATATCATAAACCGTACATGCTCATTAATGGGGATTGTGATGTGAAAATTTAATTTATTAATTTTAATGTGAATCGCACTAGTGTGCAGCTTAACGTCGTGTCTGATGAAAAACCTCATTGTGGCAGTTTAAAAATTATTGAAAATTCCACATCTTATTTCTATTTTAACTTAAAATTGCATCAATTAAAATTCATCATAAGAACTAAGTTGAAAAAAACCGCAACAAAAAGCCATAAACAAAACTGATGAGTCTTTTTTATTAAGTTCCTTTAACATCAATTAAGTAAAGAATCATATTGCATTCATAAATGAATGTGAGAATAACAAATTCTCCATAAATGTAATGTTATACAAGTCATCTCTTGTTCCTAGATGGCATTTTTACAATAAATTATGTGAATGCCACTAATAACGCATAATGATCAAGTTTCGTTACCTCGAAATAATTACTTTTGCATTATTTTTTTCATATTGACATTTTATTGAAAATCTATCTGATCTTTAACATATTGTATGTTCCTACTTAAAAAAATATCTCATTGTCATTTCAGTTTACACATGCCCTGAGAAAAATGGGAGGTTTACTGTTGGCAATAGTTGCGATAAATATCTAGAATGTGTTGTAAGTTGAGACTTCTTTTCCTAGAAGTTAATTGCTACTAAATACTCAATTTTATGATTTTCAGGATGGAGTTGGAGAAGAGAAGCAATGTCCTGATGGATTAAGATTCAATGATAAAGCAAGTTTATTCACATATCCATGTCAATATCCAATTGTAAGTTTGCACGATCATCAAAAAAAAAAGATTCATCATAATGAAATTAATACTTTCTAAATTATTATAGGACGTCGATTGCGGTGCACGATCATTACTTCAAGTGAGTTATATAAAAGACCTTTTAACTTTTGATCCATTAATAATAAATAATTTTTGATTATCTCTTTGAAGCCTGCCAATCCCTCCGAAGATTGCCCACATCAATTCGGATACTTCAGAATGGGAATTAACAATGCAGAATGTAATCAATTCTTAAACTGTGTCGATGGACGTGGATATATCTTTGAGTGCCCTGAAGGTTTGGCATTCAACCCTGAAACATATCATTGTGATTGGCCTGATGTAGTTGATGACTGTGATGCTGCTTCATATCTTGGATTTGCATGCCCTGTCGATCCAAAAGTTGAAGGTCTTGGATTACAAGAATATCGATTCTATCAAAAACCAAATGACTGTCAGAGATACTTCTTATGTGTTAATGGAAATCCTCGACTATACAACTGTGGTGAAGGAAATTATTTCGATAGTAGTTTGAGAACGTGTACAAATGAGACAACAACTTGCGTATAATAAGTTATGCATTTATATATATTTTTTTCATTCGAGGATTGTCTTAAAACACGACATAATTATTGCTCAATCAAAGTGAGAAACGATTGCGTTTTATTTTAAAATTATCTTGTATAAAAAAATATATTCATAAAACAGCACAAAACTGTAAATACTTAAATAATTTACGCAAATTAAAAACATTCCATTCTTTTCGACATAACGACTTTTTTATTTTTAAACTTTGCTTATTTGTTTCAGTTTTTATATTCACACTGATTCACACCGTATTCACGTGTGTTGTGTTTGTTCAGATGTAAAAATGAGGTTTTCATATCTTGTGAGGTACTGGAGCAAGATAGCAAAAACAAAGTTGAAATTGATTACCGTAGCTCAGCTAACCCATGAAGCTTTAAACCTTCAAAATAATACTGACCATGATCTATCGACGAAACTTCCTGTGTGGTGTGAATATATCCACATTAGGTTTCTACCCGATACACTAGTTTTAGATATGCAATTAATTCTTGAGAATTTACCTGCTTAAACTTATTAATACGTTGCGAAACTTCTATTGCATGTAGTATGTGCAAAACTTTATGTTTTAAGCATGAAACTGTTTGAGAATCTCAAAAAAAGTTACTCGCCTATTCAGTATATTACCAACTCTGGTGGAATTCAAAACAAAGTTTTTAAATGAATTTAAAAATATAATTTATATGCTTTAATTAAGTTATATAAATAAAACGTTTATAAAGTTGAGTTCTCCAGAGATGTTATCAGTCATTTGATGTTGATATTCAGAGGAATACACGATAAAACTGAGAACCATTGAAATAAATGAAAATCGGTCTCTAAAGTAATTAATTAACTTAACAAGAGATGTTAATTGCTTGCATTATGCTAACCGAGTGAATTACAATAACAGCAAAGGGAAAAGATTGCTTAATATCGGCACAGTGAATGTTAAAAATAACTTCCGGATCTAGAATTTTATGAATATTAATTAACTGGAATAATGATGCAGTTGAATCAAATTTGTCGTCTATGCTTGGAGGAAAAAACAGATAATGAGACCGTTTTAGTGGACATATTCTCGTGCTTGGTTAATGAAGCTGGAAAAGTGAAGTTAATTGAGAAAATCTTATCAACTACGGGTGTAAAAGTAAGCTAATTATATTTAATTATATTAAATGTTGCTGACCTTTCATTTTACAACTTACAGATTACAAGGAATGATGGAAGATTGCCTTCAAAGATATGTCATAAATGTCTTGTTTCCATCGAATCGTTTGTAGAGTTTCGCGATAAAGTTCGTAGAAGCGACGAAAAATTGAGAATTTTATTAAACTTAGATAGGAATGAGGAACAAAGTAGTCAGGATGTTGATCCAGAGGAATTAGATGAATTTGAGGAAATCGTAAAATTAGATCCGAACAAAGTTTATGAAAGTAGTGAGGATGAAACTGAGCAGGAAACATCACTAGAATCCAGTAAACCATCAATAGCGGAACCGCCAATAATCCAGCAAGAGAAAATTGCACCATCAAAAGTTTTAAGCAATACAGCAACGACGACGACATCGAAACAAAGAAAGGAAATATTTCATTGTAAATACTGCGATGTTGTATTTTCCGATTCTGTCTCATGTACAAATCATGAGAGCTTCAATCATGATCCAGTAAATCCATATGAATGCAATATCTGCTCATTAAAGTTTAATCAACATCAAAACCTCATCGTCCATATTAAAACAGAACATAATACTGACAAACCGTTTTTCTGCGTTCAATGTTCAAAGAATTTTATTCGTAGATCTGACCTGAAGAAGCACACATTTGTACATGCTGGAATTAGGATGTTTTCATGTAATTTATGCTCGAAATCATTCACAAGGAGCACGAATTTAGCGAAGCATAAACGAACGCATCAAGAAATTCAAAAGAACTTTAAATGCACGTTATGTCCAAAAGCATTTGTCAGTAATGCAGAATTATCGAGTCACATGGAAATTCATATGAACCGCAATACATTTAATTGTAAATATTGCAATCAGGCATTCACACAACGTGACGAATTTGATGTTCACCAAAAAACACATATTACACCGGTAAAATCGTCACAAATTACAATTCAGCCACTACAACCAGCTCCAATTGTATTTTACAATCAAAATCCAATAGTCGAACAACAGCAATTTGTGCCACAGAATCAAGCGCCAATGAACTTTTATACAGAAAATGTTGAATCAATTCCACTACCGCAACCTCCGCAACAGCCTAAAATCGAATATCCAATAATGAATCAATTGCTGACAAGTTTGCATAATTCAGTCTATAAATGTGAAAAATGTTTTGAGCAATTTCCAACATCACAATTACTTCTTAATCATCAGAATTTATATCATTCCAAGAACTTTACATGTGGAATATGCAATAGCTCATATTACAAGAAAAAGGAACTTGATCGTCATGTTATAACTGCACATACAGACGTCCGATATAATTGTTCAAAATGTAGCAAGTCATTCTCAAGGAAAGATAAACTTGCTAGGCATGAAAAAACTCATTTAATTCCTGCTTTCTACAATTGTGCACTCTGTCCTGCTGTGTTCATCCGCAAACATTTACTGGATCTTCATTCAAAGATTCATTTGATACCAAATCAAAATATACTGGAAAGTTCTGCATTAGTCAATAGCTTGAATTTAGAACAACGTCCGCAAATTCCTCAAGATCAACCGATGGCTAGTGAAAGTTTTATTCCAAGCTTCATATCTCCTATAAAGCAACGATCTCCACTTGATTTATCGCCTATGAAACATATTGATCCACCTGCTGTATTATATCCTTTAAATTTGAGTCTAAATCAACAACTTAATCCTATGAATGAGCCTATGGATTTATCTAATGATAAGTCATACGATGATTGTGTATCAATCACTAAAATTGAACCTGTTAAAATTGACATTGAGTCAGATAATGATTTGAAAATTATTGAGAATAATAATCATGAAAAGGAAAATGACCAGAAGAAAGTTGAAATTACTGAATCGATGCCGAATGACTTTATTAGCCCAAAGACTGAAAATTTGACATCAGATGATGGAAATGTGGAAAATATACAAAATTTTATGAATGCAACGGGAGATCAGAAAGAGGATGCAAAAATGGAGGATTTATCATTTCATAGTGTCACTTCGAGGCTGTCTGATTTAGATAAATTGGAGCCGTCGAGGGATCTGCCTATGGAAATTCTACAAAGTCCCGATATTTAACTTATTTAATAAATTTTTATTAGTTTTGTTTTCAATTTCGTTAATACTATGTATTAGTAAATTTTACTATGAGTAATGCACAATAAAGGCATCATTAGGCGGGAGACGTTTTCGAAATAATGACCGGATTGTCTTAATCAACTATTTTTGTCGTTATTTTCGGAATATTCTGTTTTGTATATAACTGTCATTTGAAATTTGAATATTTTTGTTGTGGTTTGTGTCTTGGCTTGCAAAAATAGTATTATAATGATTCTTCTATTAAAATTGATGTGCTTTAGCCTCTTTATAGCTTTATTTAACAATTCTTTGGCCTTTCAACGTACCAAGTTTCCAGTTCCATTTATAATTAACACAGAAATGTGATAAATTGCACAACCGAAGTTAACGATCAAAACCAATTCAAATTTTAAGGGGAACGTCTGGAAAAGTCGTGAAAATTGATTGATTCTAGCTTCATATTAAATGAACTTTTAGTGTGTTTTTGGCTTTAGTTACTGCTTAATATTCGTGCGGTGAGCTTTGTTTCTGCTATTTGTGCTTAATTACATCAAAACAGACCGAAAAGGTATGGAAAAGTGCCAAGTGAAAAAATCCTTTAAGGACGAAATACCGGAACTATCAAGCTATACACAAATATGCTGTAAATCATCTGTTGATTAAAAGAATGTTCTCCTTAATGTTCACTTATTATGTTCGCATTTTAGGGGGGGGGGGGGGGGGGGGGTGTTTGAAAAATTGTAACAAAATGTAACATAGGAGGGGGGGGGGTGTAAAGAAATATGTAACGTTCTAACTGTCGTCTGTGTTTTAAATTTTCCACCTTTTGAATGATAAAGGGGGGCGGGGTGTGAGTTGTAACAGGGGGGGGGGGGGTGAAAAAAGTCGTTTTTTGCGTAACGTAATAAGTGAACGGCCCCTTAGACGATTATTTATTTACATACGCGTGACATTTAAAACAGTTTTTTTTTTTATATTTTTAAAGTTAAAAGGAAGGATCAATCAAATGATGTATCGAGTTCCTTCAAGCAAGGTTTATATCGTGGAAATGTAAAAAATCGATAGAAATTAGAATTATTCAATACAGACATTTCAAATAAAATTTTTTTGGCGAGGATGTTTCACTTAGCTGGATTATTTTGAGACCCACGAAAAAAAAAATTAAAATTATGAAAAGGAACAGTCAAAAAACATTTGAAAATTTAACTGTCAAAAAATATTTGAAAAATATCGATTGAATTTTATTAACCCCCCCCCCCCCCCTCCCCCCCTCCCTCCTCACTACATAAAATAATCCAATAATCTGGAATATCCGCATCAGTAAATCAATTTAAGCTCATAAGATGATATTTTGCTTCACATTAAGTGCAACAGCTGTTAATTGTAATAAATTGGATATATTAAGTATAATATGATCATGCATAAGTATAAGTCGTTACGCGCGACATATGAAGTCATTGTTAGGGCAGTCACACTCAGAGCAGTGATAAGAATTCAGACGAAACATTTAATTGCTGATAAGAATTGCCGAAAACGAAAAAAAGCTAACAAGAAGTTCCGTTGAACTTTATTCAGCAAATACGGCACGTTTCTGTACTGTGATTATTATTTTATCAAAAAACTTACGACCTGTTGAAGAATTTTAATGCTAGGATTATGAATTTTTAACTCTTTCGTAGTAAAGCGTCCAAAACAAGGCTTATATGATTTTCCCAGCCTTATTGTTTATTGATGACATTCTATGTATCTTTCTAATATCAAATTAAATTATAATAATATTGTGAATTACTCAGGAAATACATGTTCATATAGATTGACAAAATAAATTATATTAATGATTGTGTGTCATACGATGTATTGATATCAGCATTTGATTACCACGCACGACACTTGAACGAAAGGAAAATTACGGAATCTAATTTCTTACACGTTTTTTGCGGCAATGCTTAGCCTTTTGTGGTTTTGAGCTTTATTGCTTGAGAAATTCTGTCTGTTGGATTATCTTAATTAAGTTAATGTCGCGTGATTATGAGTAAAGTGACCAGTCGAAAGCGCAATTTTAGCCACACAAAGCATTCTAAAAATAATAATTTTTATTATTCAACTAAATGCGTTCTAGTCACTTTAAATCTCCACTCCTAAGTCTCGTGTCTGAAAAGTAAAATCTCAATTACCTCCCATGAACTCAAAATGCTTTCACGTCACGTTCTAGAAATTCACAAGTTTTAAAGCTTCGTTGAACTAATCATTCGATTATTTACATGCAAATGCTGATTTTATTGTTCTAAGCTATTTATAAAAAATTAAACTTCGGTCGATAATTGTAGTTTAACTGTAACTACAATGATCACTTTGTGTCTAAAATATAAGTGTCATTAACTCTTTATTATTGTCATTTACTCTTATCTAGATGGCGTGCTCGTTGAGTGAACTAATTGGACTTGCTATTGTGGCTCTTCTGCTATTTTCAATGTCTAATCGTGTGCAGTATTATTCAAAAATGTTCATCTTTGTGATCTCGGCACTTGTCGCAGCAGTTTTTCCAATTCCAATTATGCTTCATCGACCGAAAGATTGGCGAAATGCTCTTATACCTGCTTGGTGTATTGTTAAAGTTGGAGAATTCTTAGGCTTAACATTTGAAATTCAGGGAATAGAAAATATTAATCAAAATGAAGGAAGTGTTGTGCTTGTCAATCATCAAAGTGCTATTGACCTCATTGGTAAGTATTAGAATAATAAACATGAACATTTCGATCTTTATTGATTAACTTCAAAGAAAATTTCAACGGATTCTAGAATTTTGAATTTCGAAACCTCACAAATGTTTCAATTAAACAAATAAAACCATATAAATTCACTTTTCAATTTAAAATATTTTCGAACGTTATTCTTTAATCCGAAATTATTTGCAATAAATCAGTCTTTCCTTCAAATCTGTCCTTGACTTCGTCAAAGGTGAAGTCCTCTATTATATTTTGTTGGATTTAAGCCATCATTTACATTAATTTTTATCGAAGAAGAAATCTTGAATATCCGTTGAAGGAAGTGAATTCATTATGCGGACATTATCAACCATAAAAAGCGTTTAACAATGCACAGAATGTATTTTAAGGAATCTATTTAAAGCACTAATCCGACGCGTTATGATTGATTGTAGTTCAGACTAATATAATCGTGTGTAGATTAATGATGTGAAATTGTCAACCTTTTATAAATAGTTGTCATGACTTGATTCTAATAAAAGAACGCATTAATTTCCAGTATTAGGAAAAGTATGGCCAATAATTGGACGTCCTACGCAGATTGCAAAAAAGGAATTATTCTATTTAATGCCATTCAGTCTCGCATGCTATTTATGGGGTACAATCTTTATAAATCGTCAAAATCATAAATCGGCATTGGACACCATCAACAAGCAATCGAAAGCAGTCAGTGAAAGAAAGGTGAAAGACTTTCAGTAAATAAAGTTCAGGATTATAATCATTAAAATTATTATTTTACTTATTCCATACAGTCAAATATCCTATTTTTCCCCGAAGGTACGCGCAATCAATCAGGTACGAAAACCTTTTTCATGAATTTTCAAATCATTTATTTTAATCGCATCCACAGAGACACTGTTGCCGTTCAAAAAAGGACCATTCCATGTTGCTATTCAATCGCAATGTGTAGTACAGCCAATTGTCGTGTCACGATACACACACTTAGACTCAAAGCGTAAAATCTTTGGACGTGGTAAAGCTGTGATTAAGATATTGCCAGCTGTTAAGACTGAAGGGCTAGATAAGTCAAATATTGACTCTCTACTGACAAATGTACAAAATATCATGCAGGAAAACTTTGAAAAGTTAAGTGATGAAGTTGCTGCGTCTTCAAACATGAAATACTTTTAAGGATGCCAAAGACATGATAAAAAGTTTTACAAGGAACATTTGAGCAGAGCTGCGAAACAGGCACCTGTGACAGGTGAGAACCCTACAATTCCTTGATAATTTATAAGGTTTTTCGGGTTTTTCTAACAAAACCATACAAATTATCAAGGAATTGAAAGGTTCTCACCTGTCACAGGTGACTAGTTTCGCAACTCTGCATTTGAGTTAAGCAGAAAATTAATTTTTTATTTTTTTATGTTTTATCTATTCAGTGTTTTCTGAATAGGCACAAAAAATAGTTTACCGGTAATTGTTTGAAGGTAGAATATGTATATGTTGAATTATTATGGACTAGGATGCATGAAAAGCTTCAAATCGATAAAATATTATTCAAAAAAACAGGTGGAAAATAACGGCTAAATATATTTTAAAAACATTTGTAAGGATTTCAAATATATTTTTTGGAATTGTATGGTTTTGATATCAAAAATGTTCTACTTAAGTTAAAAATTGTAGGGTTTAAATAATATACATAATCTATCTTCAATCATGTCTATATTCACAACCATAATCCTCTTCTTGAAACACAAAGAATTTATCAATAAATATATAAACAATTGACCAATAGAAAGCTATGAATCCTATGCCATAGAGGATATTAACTGTGAATTTATGTCAAATCATAAAATATCAAACAATAGTCGTTCTTTTTTGACTAGTCCCTATTATTTATTAAGTTAAAAAAGACGATCGATAATCAGTTTGATGATTAGTTTTAGAAAATGTTTCGTAAGTATTTAAAGTGTAATAAGGAATTTTTGTGATTTAATGATTCAGAGAAAGATAAAAAATTAATATAAGGGAAAAAAAATATTAAAATGTATTGATATAAGCTAAAAGATTTAAAATCTTAACATTATTTACGAACTGTAAAATACAAACTATTACCAAAAAATTCAATAAAATTAAGTCATAAAAAATTATTTTATTTAAAACAGTCAAATTTTGAGCTTTCATTAACTGTTATTTTAAATTTAAAACCATTCAACAGCGTAAAATGTCCGAAAACCTTACAACAGTTAATGAATATTTGAATTTTTTCTACCCGTTTAATGAACAATTTCATAAAATTAGCATGAATAAATAATTCTTAATATCCGAATAGAAATAGAACAATTCAATAATCCTAATAATCAATAAATACCTTACAATTACGTTACTCCATGCATAACATCAAAGTAAATCCAAAATCATTTAATCGCACAGATTATAAATAATGCAAAGACTGATAAGTGAGTCGTGCTATTGTATACTGAACTTGTTACTTTCTCATGTGATTCAAAAATTTTATATCGCATTTGAAGCGTGTACAACTTCCATTACCTAGGCCAATAATTGATGCCTGCAAATTGTCTAGATTCGCTGTGATTGGCTGATTTGTTATCTTATTTGACACCCAGCTTAAACCGAGTCCTAATATTGGAATTAAATATTTTTGAAGGTCGACAGTTTTCCTTGAAAATTTGTTATTTTCGCAGATATACTTTTTTAAGCACTGCCCTTTATCATGTTTGACGACTAGGAATGCTTCAAATGATCGAAGTGCACGTCTTGAAATTTCATTGACTTGCTGAATATTTGGGTCAAAATGATCGACAGATCTCTTAACTCGAACTTCTAGTTCAGCTGCCTCCACTTCACCTTCGCCAGTCACTTCCATTGGCATCAACATTTCATTATTTTTTGCCATAGATATGCACATTATGACTTGAACGATGAACATTCCGAATGATAAGAATGCTAATGTGGTTAATGCTATCTCGAAGACATCTTTAATGTTTACCACTTTCATTTCATGACCTCCACTATATATTGGTGGTGATGGATGGTAATTTACGTGTGAATAAGTCTCTTGTTGAGGTGCTGATGGTTGCGCATATTGATATCCTAATATTGTGAGAATCAAGTTAATTTAATAATGCTCTTTTAATTAGTTCTAATCTGTGATTAAGCTACAAGGTGGATTTAAGGTTAGTGTTTTAAACGTAAGTTGGTAAGAAAATGCTCATTCAAATGTTTTGGCAGTTTTTTCTGTTTGAAACCCAGTCACAAATCAGTTGAAAGTCATCAATAAAGTTAGTAGAACAGCAGAAACTTAAAAGACACGTGAACAGTCTCTAAAATCACTCAAAATATCAACCATAAGCTAGTTTTAAAATGATTTTACGATTAAAACGAGGCACAACTCATTAGTACTTAAGAATTGATTATTTCACCACCATAAACTGCTCTAAATAGTGCATGTGAAGCTAATAATTTATTTCAACAAACCCTTCGATAGACTTGATATACCTTCAAATTCATTGGGAGTAGGGAAATTAGGGGGAAAAGAAGGAGGTATTCGTAAAGTTCCAAAACTTCCAAGCCCTTCTACCAAGAGAAAATGAAATAATTCTCAATAAAAAGATTTCTTTGGGGAAGTTTAAACATTAAAGAAAAGAAAAGTTTCAGCAACAGAAGTAAAAATCTTACCAGTCTTTTCGTTTGCATTTATCGCATTTAGAGCATTAATATTTTGCTGGAAATATGAAATTCGTTTATTCATCTTCATGCATGATAATCTAGTTAACGACATTAACTTACATTTGGAACAAAGCCACTGTTTACAAGAGGTCGCTGCACCATATATCCATTTACTTCTCCTTCCTCATACTCATCATCATTCGTATCATCAATATATTGCTCGTTTCGAACATTTAAGTGCCTATCGACTGGGCTTTGGCTATTTTCATTGAAGTTTCGACTAATTCCCATCGTTCGATATATGTCATTCAATGTGGTTGTCCTGAGCGTGAATAATGAATGAATTGAAAGCATTTAAGTGCTTATTGATTGATTTATGGATGAAATGTACAATGAATTGGAATTAGAGATTTAACGGTTTTCTCAAATTCAAATAATTTTTGAATTTTTTGAAAACCGTTTTAAAATACTTTAATTTTACTAACTTTGCCAGCCAATTCTTATACTGATAAGATCCTTCATCAAACAACATCCGTTCCCTAACAACTCCATCATCCACCAACAATGAATTATTCTTCTCAAGCTCATCCGGTGTGTCCATAACTCCCATTCTTCTCTTGAACATTTGTTTTGGCTGAATATTCTCAAGTATCTTCTCAGCAACAAATTTACTGCACAGAAACTCATTTATCATTTTCCGATGATAAACCATAGAGTGTAATGCTGTCGGAAAGCTTCCATCATCCTTGATTTTTCCTTTTGTTATGCATTGAAATTCATCGTCCAGTTTTTGTGATGATAAGTTTTTCCATTCATTGTGGTCTCGCTCTTCAATCAGCATTAATGATGCAGGCATTAAATTTTCGTTTAGAATGTCGTTGACATCAAATGTGAAGTCTTGCATCATCGGTAGACACTTGTCTGTAAGATGCAGCACTAATAAAATTATTTTCCACATTTTAAGCTATTACTGAGTTCTCTGCTGTCAGAATGAAGACTGACGACATGTTCGTGCTGAAGAATTTAAAGAAATGTTGTGAAGTTGTCGAAGAAGAAAATTTAACACAATTTTTCCGCTTCGATTGCCTTTTCTTATTTGATTTTGTATGCTGCACATTTTCTCTATTGTTTATATCATTTTTTTGTTCAAATTTATTGTGTTAAGTTGTCGCACGTTGTTGTGAAGACGGTGTCATTAAAAGATTCTGTGATCATAAAATCAAACGCATTTTTTTATTACGTCGATCATTTCAGCTTTAAATTCAAACTTGTGCCTTTGACTCTTTAATGTAATGCCATGTGTCGCATAAAGAACTTATTTGCAGTTTGTAAACAAAATCTTAAGAAATAAAATAATAAACATTCATATAATATTCAGTGCCCGTATGCGATCTGTGGACCAAAATATTAATGAACTTGATTTTAATGAAACTTGTTGTCTTTTTCATAAGAATTAGTCCAAAGTAAAGAAACCAATAAACCTAAATTAACTAAAACATAAGAATCAAGGGTGATTTACTCTCATCAATAACTTGTTAAACCAATTCTATGAAAATAATTTTAAATTTACACTGAATTATACAGTGTTAAGTCTGATTTTGAGTTTCTTATTCTATTAGTAGAAACATATATCTTATTTTAAGTTTCCTTCAAACTGTTACAGTTTGACTAGCTTTGTTGATGACTTTCCACTGATTTGTAATTAATCCCCTAATTCTAGTTGAATCTATCATTTTTTTCTAATAAATTTTTATTCTTCTCACTCATTGTTCATTTCAATTCCAAAATTTTACGTCTTAACTTCGCCTTGTGCTTCCTTAGCTAATAAATGAGGATAAAGAACAGCAATTTGCCCTGCAGGAGTTGCCAATCTGCCACTAAAATCAATTCTTTTTGTTGCAACTGCTTGTTCCTTAGCCATCATAATGTCATACAATGACACTGTTGCTCTACTTTTTAATCCTTTATGTCTTTCAAGTGGAGTCGGTGATAACGGAGAATCAACTGATGATCTTAAGACACTAATCGATGACGAGGTTTCGTTGACATCAAGCATTTTCCTTAATCCACCAAGTCCTGAATCAACATCAATTTTCTCAGGTGTTTCAGGTGTTTGAGCACTACGAACTTTACGAATGCATTGAAGAATTGCTTTATGACCTGCAGATTTTCCATTCAATCCAACAATTACTTCCAGTTCATTCCACATAAGCCTATATTGATCATCTTTCTTGTTTCCTTTAATTCTTTGATTATTAAGGACCATTTCATGACGCGATTCAACACCAACAAGTTGATAAAGGCATTGCTGACATGCAAGTACTTCCTCTTCAGTTAAATCTTCTTTTGCTGTTAGGATGAGAATTGGCTCAAGGTATTGTCTGATGTTGAAAACGACTGTCGAATTGAATGTTAATGGCCAATATTTTGTCATTTTTGCAACTCGTGCTCTGACTTTTCCTAAATTATCATCAGGATATTTCATTTTTAGAGGAACTAGACGTTGTTGAATGGTTGTTTGAACAAAATCAGGTATTCTGGAATATAAAGTTTCCTTTTAAGTCATAATTTTAAGATGCAAATGTTATTAAACATACCTATAATTAACAATTTTGCCTCCAGTGCCTTCAGAAATTGATGGAGCATCCTCTAGAACAGTTCTGGATGTATTTAGGGAATGAATGAATATTTCACCTCCATGCGCAGACAGTAAATGACTTGTGATTTTTCCACCAGACTTCCTTGGCATTTCTAATAAAACAGAACGTCCACTAAGCAGGAAATTGATTAAGCATGAGCTTGGACGTGATGTGACATCAACAGGTGTAATTCTATTCTGTACAACACAATGTTGCATTTCTGAAGCACCAGATCTAGGCGTGCACCATTTAAGAGTGACAGTTTCGTACTCAAATCCTTCTTTTATACTTCTTGGAAGTTCCGAACCAAGGAAGACACTGTGAGTTCTAGATTCGTGAAATATTTCAACATCATAATTAGCACTAGAACTTGAATTTTGTTCCTCTTTCATCGGAATATTTGTGACTGTTGTTGATGCTAGATTGTAATGCTTTAGAATCAAACTCATTAGTAGCTTTGGAAGCTTTCCAGCAGCATATGAATGAATTTCGGATCTCAAATTTGTGCTAATTTCCATACATCCACGACTAGTCACAAAAGTCTCGATATTTGATGGATATAAATTGATAATAACGAGATGACAATAGTCAATGTTCAAGAGATGTTCACTTTTCACTGAAATTGCATTCTGTTGGACTAAAACTTGATGGAAGATCTTCTCAAGACTATTCATGCTTGTATTATCTCTAGCACTAGTACAAACTATCACTCGCCCACGATTAGAGACTCTTTTAGTCTCATGCTTTTGTATGTATTCTTTTTGAAATTCTGTTGACTCTGCCAATGCCTCAATTGCAGCTCTTAAACCATGAATAACTGTGTAATCTGATGTTTGCTGCATATTTCGCGGTGCTCCAACCATTATCATAGCATTGCTGGATTATAGGATTATTAATATTTATAACAGTTGAACATTACTGGATCTTACCTGATGTGATTCATATTTTGAGTATGAGGATCCCATGTATTTACTATGTGTGCAGCCTTGTCAGAAATGATAAATCTAATTAGTTTATTGTTTGGAAACAGATCCCAGACAATTCGACAGTACTCTATTGAACTTTCGATGGCATTAGTCCACAAACTTTTCTTTACAGGAACTCGAGAGTTTCCTCGTAAATCCAAAAAAAATGGCTCTTCGCTGCTTATTCCAAAATATGGTGTATGATCTAGCACAAAGACTGTCTTACAGTTTTCGTCCATTTTTGATGTACTTCTAGTAGAATTAATGAAAAGAATAGTTTTGTTTACTTTTTGTGTGCTTTTCCAGTGATTCTCAAACTGTTATGGATGAAAAAAAAATTATTGAATTTAAAAACCGGCAAAAATAGCTTGAAAATCACTTTTAACTTGATAACTTTGATAGGATGTGATAAACACGAGTTATATGGAAAGGTGTTTAATGGAATTAACGTTGCAAGATGCTTACTTCTACTAGAATTAATTAATATTTCAGACAATAACAAATTTATACAGTGTAACCTGGTGAAAATGTGATGATATTATAGAGGTTGACATTATTGCGTGCAACTCTTAAGATGATCATTAAATTTATCACTTTTCTTACATGATGGAACTCAAATAGATTATTTCAATGAATAATAAGCTCAATAATGTAGATGTCAATATAAATCATAAAGTCTAAAGCTATGCCTTAATAGCAAAACGAAATATCTCAAAAATTATTAACGGTGAAAATTCAAAATAAAAACAAGTTGAAGAAGAATTAAAAAGCTTTCTTGTGTAAAGTTTACTTTTCCCAAGAATTGGCCAAAAAAGTGTAAAATAATTTGATTTTCGTTATTATTTTCTATATTTAATAAGTATTTGGGTACTTTGAGCAAGTGAAAATGTCTTCAACACGATCATATGCAGAACCTCGTTGGTTCTACTGTCACCAGTGCACGCATCGATGGCTGAAATCCCATAATTCAGTAAGTATTGAAATTATTGAATAAGAAATTTTAATCTTTAAGAAAATCTATGAAATTTTTGCAGATATTCGAATGTCCACGATGTCGTCAGGGATTTATTGAGGAAGTAACTGATGAGTTTAATCCAAATATTCCATTTTTTCCGTCTCCTCCCTCACCTTTACGATATATTTTGTATGATGCTGCCTTTAACGAATCAAATGATGAAGATCTGAGAAGTAGAAATCGAGCTCGCCGTAATCGAACTGATCGGAATGAGCAAGCTAATAGTCGTCAGCCATCGACATCTCGTAGTCGATCACCACACATTTCAAATATAGTCATTGGTGGAAATCGTGAAGGCAGTCGAACTGATCAGAATTTTAGGATTATATTTAATACAAGGCAAGGTGAAGCAAATCGGTTCCTTTCAGTAGCTATAGATGACATAATGAATTCACTGTTTACATCAGAACGTCAACCCGCAATGACAGATGAGCAATTGAATGAGATTCCAGTAGCAACAATTACAGCAGAACAAGTTGAAGCTCAATTACAGTGCGCAATCTGTTTTGAAGATTTTCAAGTTAATGAAAATGAGGTCCGCAAGTTGCTATGTAATCATTTTTTCCATGAAAAATGCATTTTCCCATGGCTTCGTAACAATGCATCATGTCCTGTTTGTCGTACTAGCTTAGCTAGTGAAAATGACTCTGACGAGGAAGTTGGTATGTATTCATACAAGTTTTGATTAAATATTTTTAACTTAATATGTACCTTTATTTCAGCAAATTTCGTCCAATTTATCACAAATAGTCGCCGTGCCAGAATGAATCAAAATAATGTAGACAATGAGCCTGGACCATCAACATCGCAAGGTGGTAGATCTGTTCCTCAAGCATCAACGTCAGCAAACGTAAATGTGGTACCGAGAAATCCAGCATCACAGTTATCACGGATTCCACGCATTTCTCGACGAGTAAACAATTCACAAATTAGTCCAACCGCAACAACTCGCATTCGCTCACGAAATTTACAGCTTAATCAAAATGAACCAGCTCCACATTTACGTCAACAAAATATGACAATACGCGGTGATATTAGTAGTCGAGTAAATGCGCCAATATCAAGTCGCACACGTAGTCAGCACAATTCAAATTTATTAGAACCACATAATCCACAAAATTCACGAGAATTACGTGGAGGACAGAGAAATGGAATTTCTAGAATTAGACTTATACACCCACGTCCTTTACGTTCAGCACTGACTCATTCAGACAATAATCATGATCAACCTCAACAGTCACTTTCAAGAAGACGACGAATACCTTTATATTCACCACCACCACCTCCAGTTCGAAGAATTCAAAGTTCCTTTATGAATTTACAGGAACTCCTTAGAAATCGCATTGATGACGATTCAGATAGCTCAAGTAGTCGAGATTCATTTCCTTCTCCACCATTTTCAGTTAGTGATCCTGAAATTATTCAAATAAGTCCACAATCTGATGTGTCAATACCTCGTGTTAATAGTAATGATCGAGAAACGGCGACTGAACCTCTACGAGTTGATATTTCTGACGACTCTGACTGAATTGACAGCGCTTAACTTTACATTTACTATTTCATTAACTAAGTTCTTTTCTAATAATGTTGATAGATAAATAAGAAAATTGTAAGAATGAGATATCATATTTTTTATATTCCAAGAAGAAAAAAAAAAGAAAGATACAAAGAGTTACGACAAAAGTCATATAGGATATAATTAATAAATTTTTTTGAAGATCGAGAAATTTGATTTAATTGTTTAAAAAAATATTTCTTAAGATTGTTCATTTGAGATTTACTTTTAAAAAGCAAAGAAATAAAAAAAAAATAAAAAAATAATAAAGAACGAGAAATAAAAGAAATAAGTTTTGTGAAATTGGCTTTACTAATGCGGAGCTAGTAATAACGGTTTTTGAAAATTTGAAATTGAGAACCTTACAAATTACATTTTCAGTGTTACAAAACCATACAAATTCTATAAAACATTTGTATGGTTCTTAATTAAATTTTGAATTTCTAAAATCGTTAAATTACAGATAGACATGCCACAACATTCAAACCTTCAATTTTTACGTAATAGATTATTCATTTTAATCGCCAACATCCTGATTAAATTCACAGTAATAATAGTTCAATATCCGCACATAATCATTACCATTTCATAATCATTAATATTTTTTATTTATTAACATTGACATTGAGATAAATGCAGGAGTAGTCAGGATGAGCACAAAAAAATAGGGTGAAATTTCATTTCCTGTCATCGTTAATGGTGGATTAAAAGTATCGTTATAAATATGACATGGAAACAACAATTTTTTTTGCGTGTCACTCCCTTTAAATCCTTTTCGATTTCATTAAGCTAATTGGTTCTTTATTTTTTTGTGATTTACAGATTTATACTATATTTTTTTGTTTCCTCTGTGTGGATGTAGGATGTAGCATAGCAATGCGTTAAACAATCGTAAAATAATTCAATTTAATCATAACTTTATGACTTATGTGATGCATTAAATTTTCAACAAAAATATCATCATGAAAATGATTCTCAATCATAGCGCAGCATATATAGCTATTGAATACACAAAACAATTCCATATTATACAGAATAATGTATGTTGTAGCATAAATCATAATTATGTTGTGTATTCATCAAATTCATAAATCAATGCAGTTATACATTCGAATGTTGTTTTGCTAATTAATTGGAATTACTTTTTATTGCCCTTTTCGAATGTTGTGTCTGCTACTTATATTTTCAACATGCCTATAAAATATATTCATGGTCTATGTCTGTTAAAGCATCAATGATCCTTTACGATGTTTCTTTTGTTGATTTCTTGTTTTCTGCATGATTGTTGTGCAGATTTAACATCGTTCTGTCTCTTTCTGTTGAATGTGAGCTTTTTATTTGCATCGTTGAGGCTTAATTTTAAGGAATAAGACTTAGAATTTTTCAAAAACCTTACAAGTTTTTGTAGCTCTACAAAACTGTTGTGGTGTTTTGACACTTGAATTTTTAAAATCCGTTAAAATGTTTTTGAATATTATTTTACTTTACTTTTGTACAAGGTTTTGAGAATTCTAATATTTCAGCACGTATATTGATGGAAGAACAAAAAAAAATCTTGATAAATTAAAATTCAAAACCATTTAACAGTGAATCAAATGAATTTTAGAACAACATAACAGCAATTCATGCGAATTTTCAAAACCATTCAACAGCAATAACATTTAAAATTCAGAACCATACAACAGCAATTGAGGTGAAAACACAAAACAATTGCAATGTTCTCGAATAATTTACCTCACATGTGGTCATCAATTTTTCAATTTAACATTGTCAGCACTCTCGAATACTAATTCTAAATAGAGCTATAATATGACATCATAATGACTATTCTCAGTAAAAATGAATTATGATAATCCTATTCAATAATCATATCTAATAAGTATTAACGGGTAAATCAGCTTGTTTCTCTCAACAATATAACAAATAGCTTACTGTTTTGAGATGATGTGTGCTTGGTTGGTTGTTTTACTTTTTTATTATTTTATTCTCTCCCCTGAAACTCGCGCGCCTTCAACAACCGAAACAGAAAATCAACATTTTTATTCAGTTTGCTCTTGACGGTCCGTGAATTAAGTTGTCCATAGCTAATGACTCTGAAATTGTGAATAATTTTTCTTATTGAAATTAATTTACATGAAACAGTGAAATAAGTAGTTTTCAGTGCATGATATGGATATAATGAATTTTACGGATATTTACGAGAAAAAAAATAAATATTTTTTGAGTGACAAATTTAATATTTTTTAATTATTTTGTGTTGAATGGACAGTGAAATTTCCAATTAATAAAAAACAAACGTGAATCAAGTTTAAATTGACTATACATCTTAAGGTGATACTCATCAAAGAATTTTGTTGACATAAAAAGTCATAGGATATTTCAAGTGCATATGCTTACAAGCATAAATAAATTCCTTCTTATTGGCATTTAACTTTCTCACTCTTGCATCTCGAATATTTGCTGCACACACTTGCCAGTGACGATTTTACACGCAAAATAAATTAATGAAATTTATTGAATTTCTGACTTTAGTTTTACGCGTATTTAGAAATGTCTGGTGATGATTTTTTTTTTTTTGTAAAATAATACATTTTACAGAGCAGACTTCAATAGTTTTTTGAAATAAATCGTTTAGTCTTGGTTCTTTAGACAAAACAAACTGATAAAAATGTGTATAAAAATTATGAAATTTTTTTGTAGGTATCAAACTTACTAAGTATGCACCAATAAAGTCTAAAATTGTATTTTGAACCCTTTCCTCTCTTCTAAAAGCCAAGTCAGGGTACACAAACCTCAATTAAGAAATTTAAGTCCATTTAAAATAGTATTTTATAAGAAAACTAAAGCCGGGCAATCGCGACAAATCTGAATCAAAATTCATCAAGAAATTACATCAATCTTCAAAAACAAACAGCTTAGATGCTTATTATGATACAGTCTGGCATCTGTTGTGTTAGAAAATTTAAAATGCCCCAATAAAATCAATTTTAATTATATTAACCCGCCAAAATTCATAAATTCGTCGATAAAAATATTTTAATACCTTCTTAAATAAGAATCTCAAGTGGCTGCTTCTTCCTTTTTTATATATCATTAGATTTTTTCATAAATCACAAGCGAAACCACCTTTTAGGAATATTTATATTGAATTAATTTCTATCGGATTATCACGGCATTAACAATCATTCCATGATAAAAAAAGGAGAAACTATAAAATAAATTAAAATATTCATTCAGCTCTTAAATTCATCAGACAATCGATTAAAACGAGAATTATTATTTTTTCTTCCCATCTTCTTCACGATTATTCATCATCACTCTCCTTCTATTCTTCTCATAAATATTGATACTCATAATGGTTTAAAGAAGAAATCAAAATCATTAGCTTCATTAATAATGTGCTATATTATTTATTTTATCGTGGAATTTATCAGGAATTAAATAAAAAAGATGAATTTGATGGTGCAGAAAATAAAAAAAAATGATTTTTGGGAAATAAAAAATTTGTTGATTTATCTAAACTATGGGTTAAAACCAGAAATCTCAAGAACTGTAAATTCTTAGGAATTGAACCCAAAACTTATTGATCGAACTTTGCAATTGGATTTTAAGACATTCGCTCAATAGCTTTAATTTTATTTTAAGTTAAAAGCAGACAAAAACCAATCTTAAGCTTGAAAGATGCAGGCAGAGATCATGCATACTAAAAAGAAGGATTCTAACCTAGAATATTGTCAATATGAATAGGATTTGCAAAATTCCCAAACTTAATCGGCCTGTTTCACTAAAGTGGATTATCCTCGATTTCGGATTATCCACTTCAGTTTTTTGGAAATATCTCCAGACGCTTAAGGTTATTAAGAAATCTAATGTGTGATCTAGTTAGAGTATTTTGCTACTTAAATTAACATAAACTTAGAATTTTTATATCTTCACTAGTTTGAGAATTATAGCAAAAATTAAAGTTAATCTACTAGATTTGGCTAGAAAATTGAATAATTAATACTTCTTAACGAAAAGTAAAAGTTTAAAGTGTACAGAAATTTCAGGCATAGTTCACTCTATTATAATTCAAAATTAGAAATACCACACCTCCCATAAAGTTTAAGATATTTACAAAAAAACTGAAGTGGATAATCCGAAATCGAGGATTTAGTGAAACAGGCCGAATAATTTTTGAAGCTGCAATTCTAACTTAAAAAGGATGTAGCCAAAAGGAGGTCAAAAAAGGGCAGAGCTCGAATTCGACTCGAGTAGAGTCGGGTTTTTTCGAGTCGTTCATACAAACAATCTTCATACAAAAAAAATACCGAGTTGTCTCGAAGTCTACTTTGGGGAAGGGGTGGGGGGTAAGTGTGAAGAGCTTCAGAAAATAGAATCACTTTATTTTTGGACGTCGTTTATGAACGATCATTTATGTGTGTTGCGACACACCTAATTTAGAATGCACTGATCGAGATGCGTTTAATCTCCAGCTATCATTAACCAATCTTCAAACTTGTGAAATTTCCATCTCCTCAAAAAAATATTCTTATCTCATCTTTCATGCCTTAATTTTTTATTTAATATTTTAACATTGTAAAAGAGAAAAAAATGGAATTTTAAGTAAGTGGTTCGTTTTTTGTTCGACAGTCTGATATTAAGATGAAATTAATTCTTTGTTATTTTTTATGTGTTGTATCTTGTGTTCATTATGTTACTTGTTGATGTTTTAACAAGATGTTTTTATCCTTCATTGCATGTGTTTTCATTAGCTCCCTGCTCTTTTGTTATTTTAATTTTTTTTTATTCTGCTTGCTTGCCTTCGTTTTTCTTTTTTCGTGTGCCTGAATGTGATTTGATTTCTCTTTCTTTTCTTTTATTTTTTGCTTAATATGCGAAAGAAAAAATTTGAAATTTAATTGAGAAAATAAGGAGGGAAAAGGCTATAAGAGAGGTCTGGTTTAAATTTGACAAATGGGTGGACATTTTGGTTGAAGATTTATGTGAACAACTTCATATTTAGTTGGGAATCTTTATGTCCTGTAATCGATTACTTGCCAATTCGATGAAATGTTAATTAAGATTTTAGTTGCACATGTCACTAGGTTGCAAGGGGTGGATATTTCTTTCAAATTGGTATCAGTGGGATGTGATTTAAGCTTAGGAGTGTGAGAATATGTTTTTCTAATAGAGTTTCCGAGCTTCTGAGACGGTTCGTGGTCCTGATTTTCTTCTTGAATATTTTCAAGTTTAAATTCAGTTTTTCATTATATTTTGAGAGGGATACATCTCTCTTGTTCGAATCCGAAGGGATTAAATGCAGAAATCTCCAAGAAACTGACCACAGCAATGCTATCCACCTTTAAAGTTATGTTTAAATGAGCTACCATTTATTCCTCAGCAACAGTTATTTCAACCCGCAATAAAAATCGAAAGCGCCACAAATTTTACCTCCAATGGATTAACGTCAAATTGCCGAGCATATGAAAGTCGTAAAAAGACTTAACACTAACAAAGTCTCAGCTGATTATCACATGAATCCTCTGAAAAAATTTTTATGTCGCTTATGAGGTGCTAACTTGAAATCATAAAACAATAGACATCTCGACAAACTTCACAAGGGTTAATAATCTACAAAAACACACATACATGATTTCTACCAAAAAAAATATTGAAAATTTATGGTCAATAAAAAAATTAATTTCATGTCTGAATTATTGATTATCTCATCATAAAAAAAGGCAGAGGCTATCAAATCTAATCCGTTTTAGATCAAAATATTTTTGTTTAAAATTTAAAATCGCATCATAGATAATTTTATGGTACGATAAAGTCATAAAATAAATTATAGATGAAAATAACTAATAATTATAAACATGCTGATTCTTTTATGATGGACGAGAGATTGGCAAAGGATTATGAATGATGAATTAGTTTTGGATGGCTTTTGGGAATGATTTGAAGCAAATTGAAGTATGAATTATTAAGATTCGTTGTGTAACGATTAAAATTTGTTTGAATTTCATAAATTGTTCTTAGTTGCACACCCTTTTAACTTTTTTTTGTGATTTTCAATTGAATTAACAGATAAATGACAATTTTTTAAGGTTTAGCAAATCACTTTCAACTTCCTGAACTTCTAATTTATTCAAATTTATATTTAAACTGCATAAAAACTTCCGAAAAAATTAAAATTTAAAACTTTAGTTTGAGCTTCTTTAGCAACTTTAAAATTCAATCTATTATGCAATAAACAGAAATTCATATAAAGTCATTCAGCTTTATAATGATCATAATTTTAACGATTCTCATCAAATTTCATTTATCCAAAATTCAGGTTTTGTGCAACACAATTTTCCGTGTAGATTCAAGTTTTTTTTTGCTGCTTGAATATTTATAGATTCCAAACTTAACTACCTGGTTAATCAGCGAATCCCATTGTTTTTCTGTTGTCAATTATTTTTTTCGATAAAATAAATCACTCCTCAGAATCGATAAATTTCTATCATATACCTCAAAAATTATATGCTTCCAACTGATTGATAAATGTTTATTTTTGACTTTCTAACCATAAAACTGTTAATTTCCCATTAAATTTACTCATCCCCTGCGAATCATTTCATCACACATTTTGATCTTGATTCTCATTATATTTTCTAAAATGCTCTTCATTATTATAAACTTTTTATACCCGATCATTATAATTAATTGAGTTCAAGATAAATTAATCAAAAAAAAGTACGAAAGACAACGTAGAGAGTCCGAAAAAAGGTTTCTGTATTTAGAAAAATTTGCAACAGGAGTAGAGCAGCAGCAGCAGTCGTAAGAGAAGATGATTATTTTAGATTGTGGAATGGAAGAATGCTGAATAAAAAAAATTTAACACAAAATTTATTCCTCTTTTCTCGTGTTATTGATCATACTAAAAATAAAACAAGACAAGAACAAAAGTGAAGAACAAGAATAAGGAGCACTGAGCAGACCATGCATGGCTGTAAGATTGAATAGTGCGCATTCAATAGCTTGGATCTTGTTATTTGAAATTGAAGTTCTTTTTTGTAACCTTAAAAAAATTATGATTTTATTAAGAGCGTAAAAAGGTTCAATAATCTTGTATTACTTCCTTAAAAGTCGGTACAAACGACGCCCACCACCCCTCGTCTCACAGATCTATCAGATGTTTCAGATTAGCATTTTGGATGAGGCTTAAGAAAACCTTTGTGAACTTAAAACTTTCGAAATTCTGATTCAACATTAAATACTCATAATTAATTAATTTAATTCCTTCATTCATTTGCTGATCCATTCCACCATTCTGATCAACACTTAAAACATCTCCAACCAACAGCATCTACATAAATGCCAAAAAAGCATTGGCTTAAGCAGTATAAAAGATGATGTTAATTATTGAAATAATATGTCAGAATAAATTTTAATCATTTTCGAATGCTGATGGAATTCTTCTTAGTTAATTGATTTTATACACGCGTTTGGTGTTTGGAGCTGTGAAAGTCTTAAGATTTCATTTTTTGATAAGATCTTCTTTATGTTTTGAGTAATGTGCTATAATAAGATTGGAATATAAAGATACATGCCGGATACATTCATAAAATGCATAAGAAGAATTATTTATTTATGGTTTTGAGGATTGACTTGAAATTGGATTATTTTTCTTGACTAAAGATGTATTTAGTTGAATATAGTCAATTGATAATCCTTTCAACAACTTTTTATGACAATTTTAAAATTCTGAATCCAAAAACATGCCAAATTTCATTAAAACTTAAATTTAAAATCTTCCAGCAGTTCCAATAACAACAACAGGTGATTTCCAAGTGAACAAGTCAGTTTATCAAACATAAAAGCAGTGAAAAGCTAGTGAATCTTAAAAAGAATTAAAAAAAAATAAATAAATTCAGTGAAAAAAGAGCCAGAAGATGAGAAGAGAAAGAGAGAAAGGATACGATGAGTGAAAATTGATAAGACAAAAATAATAGCAGACGAAAAAGGCAATAAAAAATAATTGAATGTTCATTAAATTCTCTCTCATTTCTTCATCTTCAACCGCGAGAGTTGTTTAAAGCATGAAAGAATTGAAAATTTTCAAGACTTGATACTCGAAATGATGTGATGAAGATAAAAAAATTAAAGTAAGAGAAAATGTTACAAAAATGGTTTATATGCATAATTTATCGAGGGTGATCATCAGTGTAATCATCATATTCTGTAATTTACAGTAAGTTCTTACGCCTTTCCATACTATTTTATTGTTAATGTAATATTAATATTGATCATGATTATTTGAAATATATATTATTGAAGTTGTGGACGAAGTATGACTGTTATGTGCTCTAAAGTGTAATGCAATCTTATCACTGATGAATTTATTTCTTTTCTTGAGGGGGTTTTTAAAGTTGGAATTTATTATGCGATTCTTGAACTTGCAACAATTTATTGGAATTTATTAAGGAGTTACACTCTGTATTTAGTGCGCCTTTAGGTTAATCTCTTAACAAATAGTTGAAATTTATTTATTTTGAGGTTCAAGGCGGTGTAGAAATGAATTTAAATTCGAGACCTTTTACAAACATTTTAAACAAATAAATTAGGAATTAGTAGTCAATTTCAAATGCCTGGAAACATTTGTTATAGTTGGAGAATATAAAATTCAATGTATGATTCATTTTAAAATACAAGACTTGACTGAAAATAGAGATTTATTCCTAATCAGAACTCCCAAAACATTCACGAAATCCAAAATTTCAAAGTTTCGAGTTTAAACTTGATTAAGGCTCTTGATCAACTTAGGACCTTTTAGATCTGTTTATAAACTGAATCTGGAATTTTTCAAGTTGGAAAGGTTCTGAATTATCAAAAATATTTGTCTCACTTGCATGGTTATTTCAACCTTTTTAACAGAAAACGCAGAAAACTTAAAAATTCCATTCAAACTTTCCTGCTTGACTAAGCTTCATATATCTAATAGAAATCGTGCCTAGCTGCAATCTTGAAATAAAGCTGCTATCCTCAAACTATTATATATCCATTAAAATCTCTCATTTTGCCAATTCTAATATCAATTTCGCATATATTCTTCTATGGTCAACCGATGTCAATTTTCATCAATTTTTAATCTTCAAAGCGGCATCTTAGCGACTAGATTCCAAAATGTCAAAATATTGAGGACACACAGAACCTGAACTTTTCTCAACCGTAATTCCTCTTTATCGAAAAAGAGTTCCGTAAAATTTAATATCAAATCTCGATCATCTTAAGAATATTTTCATTTCACAAAAGCCACCGTCATCTCTAAAATAGCTTTATAATGTTTTAGTAGAAACTGGATTTTGTATTTTATTTTTAGATAATCCATTTGAGAGATTCCGTGTTATTGCGGATGAAATTATAGATTTTTCTCATGAAAAGAACTACATTTTGGAATTCTAGACAGAAATTTATGTGTCAGGTTAATTATGTAAACGAATTTTGAAAGAAAGGTTTGCCGGTAGTGGACATAAGTTATTCAATAATTAATTCAATTTATACTGAATTCCAACGTACCTTATTCACACAGCATGAAATTGCAGTTAATTAAATATAATAATATTTTTTTTGGGCTCTTCAATCAACAAACAGTTTAAAAATTGTCTGTAACACTCAATTATTTGCACACACCATGCAATTTCATGTAATACTGTTAAGAAAAATTGAACGTTTCTTTCTCATTATTAATTTAATTCATCTCTAATTCAACTTGCTGTTCATTCGCTTTATTAAAGAACAATTTGAAAAAATTGTATTTTGTACTTATCGTGGATGTTATAATCTCATGCAATGCAAGTATCTTATTTTCTGATGTAAATACTTTCATTCTCAATTACTCAACATTCTGCTTATGCAATTTTCTTTTCACTGAGAGGAATAAATACTTTCGAGGTGCTTGAGAAACTTGATGGAAGTGAACTTGAAGATTCGGTCATTTTGATATTGAAAATTAAACTATTTGAGGGATGTAAATATTAAATTGGGAGATGCAGAGGTTCGAAATGTTCGGACCATAAAAGGGGGCTCAAAACTGGCTTCTTCAATTCTTCTCTTTTAAGATACGAATTCCTTCCCAATTCATAACCCATATAAACAGCAAATGGCGTGGTTTTCAGCACAAACTGCAATCCAAAAGCTGTTACAAAATCAATCACTTGTAAAATGGGTTGTTTAATCACATTCAATTTAACTTCAATTTCGCACTAATTGCTTTTGAAAAATTTATTTCCTTCAGTCAGTGAAATTGATATTGTGTGAAATTTTTTTTTAAGATACAACATTGCACGAGAGGAATGAACGAAGGGCTTTTTTATGTATGAAATTTATGTTGCAATAAGTTTTATTGATGCCTTTAAGAAATCTTTTTCCTCTCGTTTGGCATTCGATCTGAAGCAAAATTGAAATTTATTCTTTCATATTTCTTTATATCCATTTAAAGAATATTTAAAAAGCGATTAATATTGAGAATAAGTTAAAGATGAAATGAAAATTGTTTTTGTACGAAAAATTAATTTTTTAAATAAATGATTAAGAGGTGGATTTATGAGTTTTGATAGATTTTGAGAAAATTTCAGGCTGTTGGATATAAATTTTTTTTATTTGGTTGGAGCCAGACAACAGTTATCCAAAGATTTTAGTCAATATAATGGGAAAAAAGTGATTTGAAGTCACAAACCGACATCAAATCTACATCTACAGTTCACCTACAACTACATAAATCTCATATCATCCAATAGCTAATTCTCTCTCACACATACGCTGCTATTTGAGTAATAATTTTAACAGCGATTGCTTATTGTAGGATGATTATTAAAAACTGGCAGGCAATGCAAATAAAAAATATTTTAGCAGCAAGTTCGATGAGTAGGAAACTGCAATAAATATAATTTCAATAATTTATAGTTCTCATTAACATTAAATTCAAATTGATTACAACTTATTAAAATCGGATTGTCAAATAAAATTGATTTATATTTAATAAATATCGAGATGTGATCAATTTTGTGCATTAATATAATTTTTATTCTGAGTATTCACGTGGTCTGTACGCAGCATCAGAGTTCCTGCTTTAATTATATGAATTTTTTAAAATTTCTTTTTAATCACTTAATTTACAAAATATATTTAATTAAAGTATTTAAATATACCGTAAAGTTAAATTCACTTAAAAGTGAATCTTGATATCCTCAGTTCACTTGTGGTTGAATGATAAATTAAAGTAAATTATTAAAGAAACTTGATAATCAAAAACATTGTTGCTCGAGTGCATCAAAAAATCCCAAATTTAATTAAATTGATTAAACAATTTTCATCGATTATCGTAAAAACACGGAAATTCAATCACAAACTTAAATTACCTGCAATTACACTTGTAAAAGACTGATTAAGTGCCTTTATAAAGCGTACATGACACCGACTTAAATTATTTTTGGTTCATTACCAAAATCTATCATTAACAACACTGTAAGTGATACCATAAAAAGCAGTAGTCGAACAATAATGCTTGAACAGCTTTCAAGTTATTTTCAGAACGTGTTTTGTTTTCAAAATTCGTCAAATCGTCGACATTCTTATTTATAAAGCTTTTAAGAGCAACACAAAACATCTCAAGAAGTCGAGCCATCAAATTAAATCAAATCACTTTTTCAGCGCCTTTTTTGATGAATTATTAATGGCGTGTGGCTTTATGTGGAACTACTTTTTTGAGTAACCGTGACTAATTTTAAATTATTAGCGCCGTCAAATTGCTTTTTGTCATCACTTGTCATGTAAATTATTTTAATTTGACTTATTGCTTTTGTTGTGTTGGTGGATATTAGTTGAATTAAGATTTGGATAGGATGGAAATGAGATTAGTAATGCTAAGAAACTATTAAGGTTTATTTTAAGAAGGGAATGAGATATTTTATTAATCTAACGAACATTTGAATTTGAATGTTTTGAATAAAACTGTAGGGTAAAGCAATCTCAATAAACTTGTGTAGATTTTCCCTTAGTCACACTTCGAAAAGTTTTCGGGTTTTTTCTTGATGAATTTAAATCTTATAAACTGTATTTATCAATAAAAATGACCAAAAAAGTAGCAAGATTCATCTAAAATCATTGTTAAAAATATATCCGGTCCATATTTAAAGATAAAACGAATAAAGTTCATTAAAAGTTCCAACCAATCTTCTACAGTCAATAAATTCAGCTTCTATAATGTGCTAATTATTATGATCTCCGTGACTAAACCAATTCATAAATATTTTAGTCGAAAATAAACTTCCAATTAGCAAAAAAAATCCAATATTGCTAATTCCCTTAAAGGTTTAACGACAGTCCATTAGCATAATATTTTTGATAATTCACACTTTTCACGTAATACGGGTTTTACGACTGTTTTTATCAAGAAATATTAATCATAAATATAGCGATATGGATTCTCGATTTTAAAAGAAAAAGAGCCGAAAACATAAAATTTGATGATATCGCTTTGAAATGCAAACAATTCTTTCAAAGAAGAAATATTTCCTTTTATTGGGATAGAAATTCCGTTCAACATCTTCATTGATATTCAAAATAGTTTTTAACCATGACTAAAAGATTTTAAAATCGAAACCAATCTTGACAAATTTCTTACAGCTAAATGCTAAACACTTCGGCGCCGGTCAAGACATTTCAATAATCTCTGTTCAATAAATTTGATTGAGAGAAGCAATATCGTGAGGAAACAGTTTCAAAATTCCGATTTTGATACAATGTTGCAAAGAATTTTTCTATGACGAGGTTTGGATGATATTGAAGGGATTTTGAGGCATGCACAAATGACTTTCTATATCTGTTCTCATTTGTACTATCTTACAGATCTGCAAACAATTAGAGAAAGAACATTGTGTTCCTTTCAAGGCTTTGATCTCCACTGATTTGCTTAATCTAATTTGTGATCGACGAATTATCTAGTTTGAATCATGTAATATAAATATTATTTAATCTTAGATTGTACAAAATGATAATACTAACTCAAACTAGATCTATAGCTTATAGTTCTGAGAAATACTGGTTCCAAATGCTATTCAAGATTGAAAAAAGACTATAGACTAGATTTTTCTAGATATTTAAGAACGAAAGAAAGCTGATTTGCAACAAAAAGTAAGAATATTCTTAAAAACTAGATAACATTTCCAAAATTCAAATATCCGATAATCAGGTTCTCACAGATAGTATAAAATCTAATCAGTTATGAGGTGTAATTTAGACACATTTTTCATCCAAAGAAGCTACAAAAAAATGTATTTAATTACTCAAAAAACGAGTTTTTTTTGTGAATTCTGGTGTGGTTTAAAATTAACTTTTTTTATTGATTAAAATGAATTTTTGTGGTTTTTCTTATCGTCTCATGTCGTGCATTTAATTAAAATTTAGTGTTAATAAAATAATTTTGTTCGTATTTTTATTATAACTGTTCATCAGCTGATTTCCCGATTGTTTTTTGGTGGCAAGTGCTGACTCAAGGATGTGTTTGTGTAGCTAAGATTCTTTAAGACATTTGTTGAATTATTGGGGACATTTCGATAATAGACTAGACACATGCCATCAATAAAAAAAATTTCCATTTCTAAAAGCTATCAAATTTGATTGTTCATAGAAACAACAATTTTAAAATATTAAATTTCGAAATTCCTTTCAGTAAAACATTTACAAAGATTAACTGGTAGAAAATTACCCAATAAACGTAAATGAGATGCTTATGAGCTATATATTCAACAACTTGTGCTTAATAAGAGAGATTTGATGTTTAGAATTTAATAGACATCTCAAGTTTCAATAAAATTTTATTGTCACTCTTAGTAAATGACTTTAATCTCTCAATAAAATTAATTTTATTTATGAAAATTCAGTTGGGATTGAGAATTTTTATTAGGAAGCTCGATAAAAATGTTGAAATGTCGAAAAATGTGATTGGATTGAGATTTATAATTGGAATAACAAATTAAAATTAAATAATGATTTTTAATTTAAAGCTAATAGTTTTCATTAATGCTTCTTAAAAAATGTTGAATCAAACTTTATTTTCAGAACTTTCTCAAGAACAATTAAGAATTTTCAACTCATAATCATAATCTATTTTGAAATAACTTTTTATTGATTTCAGTGGAAAAATTAATATTTTATTTATTGAAATTATTCATTTGATTCTAAATGACATTTTTTAATCAAAAAGCTTCTTTAAATTCATTTTTGACTGTCATAAATGCCAACTTTATTGACCATTTGTTAACTCAATCATACAAGAAATAAGAATTTGAGGATTTGAATTTTTATAAAAAGATTTTTAAGAACTGAATTCTTTAATACATTTTATAAAATTTCTGAGAACAAAAAAATTGACTGATTAAATATTTTTTCATCTGAATTCGTTGAATTGAGATTCTGAATTGAAAGTGCGTCTTCCTCTCCTCATGACGTCAATGCCCCAATTAGTTAAAATTGCATCAAAAACTGCCTTATAGTCAAAAATAATCCAAATTGATGCAAAACAACTTACAAAAATGTTCTTTCCTGCCAAGAATACATTTGCTCCTTTCTGTGTAAACATTCTTCAGAAGATATCAAGTTTCAAAGATTGTAATCAAATAATTTAATGCCGTGAATCCAGTGACATTAAATTAGCTTAAATTTACATCACACAGATGACATTAAAAACGTGTCTAGTCATCATTATTGAATATTCACAACTCATTCAGATGAACTGGTTTCGATTTGACAATGTTTAAATACTTGAAATCGTTTGAGACTCGCTGACTCGAATAAAATCATTTTGTCTTTAATTCAGCTAGACATAATTAGCTCTCATGATTGCCATTATTATTTTCATTATTGATGCAATTTAATATAATGTTATTAATATTTCGTGATTCATTCTTTCAATCGTGGTAAATGAGATGAAAAACCACAAGGAATGAGGTGTGGTTTGCTTTATGCACAAGATGATTAAAGAATTTATAATATTGTTCATTATGGATACGAAAAAAATAAAAATGAATGTGAATGAAGAATGAAAAAAAAAATCAATGAAGAGAAATTAAATTGATTTTGTTTTTAGTTTTTAAATGGAGAAAAGGAATTGAAAGGAGATGGAAAATTGAATTATTTATTTATGATTGGAACTTTAATTGACTTTAATGCGGTTTTATTGTCAGGCTTTCATTTAATAAGGTAATTTTGTGTGATCAAATCTAATGAACTATTTATGTAGCTCGTTTGGATTTAATTGAGTAAATGTCTTGCTTGTGTCTTGATTGAGTGATGAGCAAATGAGGTCATTGTTGTTTTTGAAGAAGATATGTTGAAGTGAGAAGTTGCATAAACTTAGTTTTATATTAGATTGCGATTCGGTTGCTGGATTATGTCAAGCTGCAAATTCTATGTCAAATCTCAACGTGTACATATATTCATAAAAATCTTACAAATTGTAGTGCTGAATATAAATTATAAGTCAAAATTAAACTCAACTTATTTCCATATAAATCTCGAAACCCGTTTAAAATGTCATAATATTAATTTAAGCTGCATAAAATTTAGAGCTGAAATTTTTTTAATGAAAAATTCTTGCTTAAATAAATTTCAATGACATTTTTAAATTCGAATTTCCAATATTATTCAGTAATTAAATAAAATAATTTATTTTGCATATTAATAAATTCTACATGACGTTAAAATTGCAACAGAAAAAATATTTCACGTCGTATTAAAACAAGATTCAATGCTAATTAATTACATACATCTAATTTTATTAGCACTTAATATTGAAATTAACTGATATTAATGTTAAATTGTTATGATTTTATTAATAAATTATAAGTCAAACCAGATGTACCCATTATAGGTTATTTGGTCATGTAAAGTTATTCAGTCATGTAGACCAAGTCATTTCTTATCTGATACATTTGAATATTTTTGAATAAATCCGCGTGAATCATCAATAAGCAAATCTATATTGAGATGTTTTCAAAGAATCCATTCAAATTTATCACAGATGAATCAAAAAATAACCTGAACTTGAGTTCCTAGCAAATTATTCACAATTTAAAATGATTTCATTACTATAAAATTATATACTTTTCAAAAACTTCATGACACAGCTAATAAAAAGGAAATTCACTTCCAATTTGTCTAAATTGACAATTAAATTGAACAACAAGCAGTTAATTAAATAAAAGGTAGCCCCATAAAGCAATTATTCTTTTCATACTAGCAGTAACTCAATACTTTATGACATTTCCAACATTTTTTTCTTTTTTATTCATAAAATGCGTTTTGGGTTTTTGTCGCCTACAGGCATTCAAATCTATTGTTTATTGCTCCGATGATATTTCACTTAAAAAGAAGAGAAGAGGTAAAATATGAAGAAAAAAAATTGTTTCGTGCTTCTAATGCTTGTTGGAACCAGAGTAAATGATCAACGTAATTTGTTTGGATGAAATGTTATGGAAAGAACAGATATTAAATTAATGAGAATTTTTACAGTGTCATATGAGCTATAAATCAATTTTTTAAAGCATTTATTAACCTTAATCTATGCAACAATGTTGCTATAACCTTTTATCACATCAATTTAGATTGTATTTGATTTTTGAGTCTTTTGATAGCGTCAAAGCACTTACATGATGTATGAATGCATGGATAATTGACTAAACCACATTCATAGTTCACAATCCATACAACCTTCTCCATTTTTTGATCGAGAAAAAAAAAATTTAAGAAAGAACGAAATTAATGGAAAAAATTGTATTGACAAAAGAAGTAATAAGACGAAGAAAAGTTGTGAATGATGTTGTCGTTAGCATTGAAAGTGAGAGATGAATGGATTAAGATAAAACAAATAAATGAATATATTTTTGCCTAAAAATGAAATTTAATCCTCTCGTTTTTGCAGAATCTTTTATCCATTATTCATGAATGGAGTTGAAAGCATATGGCAATTAATTAGAATTTATATTTTACTCTTATTTTTCAGTGGAATTTTAAACTTTTCACCTGCACTTATCTGCAATCGCATTCGGGGCTTGTCTCCTAAACAGAAGAAAATTTGTGCTGAAGCACCTGATGCCTTTGTTGCATTGTCGAATGGACATCAGTTGGGGGCTTTAGAGTGTCAGCATCAGTTTGCAGGTGAGATACAAATTTTTTGCACTTAAATAAAAATCTTTTATGTCGTTTCCTGTCTTGTTCACACCTAATAAAACTTCACTTCCAACTTGCTTATTGGATCATGCAGGATCATGTCGCATTTAAACCGTAAAAACTTCACTTTTGAGATACTGAACCGATTATTGCAATATGAACGATGTGTTAATGAAGTCGTGGCTTTTTGAAGCTGATTTGCATATTTTGTGCCGTAATTTCATTATTGCATTTAATTTTTTCCTTTAAAATCTGAATTTCAACTTCAATTAACACTCTCGAATTGAAGATTTTTGAAAATCGGCACTTTTCAGCTTGTGGACCGAATTCGCTAAGATAATAACAATTTAAATGTAAATTTTCTTCTCTGAATTTTACCGCGATTAAAGTAGGCTTTACATATTCAAACAAATCATTGATTTTATCTTTGGAAAGAAGATTTTTTAAAAATGACTTTTGGTCTGATAAGGAGGAGTTTACAGTGAATGTTTTGGATATACAGAGATTGTGTCTTTATTGTGAGTTATCGGATGTTTAATGAAAAGACAAATTTTAGTGTTTTCTTTGAAAATTTTAATCTGAGTTGTTTGGGAATTTAAAACTGAATCAATCAAATTAAAAGTTGCAGATTTTTCATGTCAACGAAACTATTTTAATGCTCTACGGTAAATGACCAACTACAGCATCTATCCCGAAGTGCATAAATGTCAATAACACCAGCATTGAGCAAATGTTTTTGAAGCTTGATTTAAGCATCAAGATGGCATAACGAGTATTCCAGCAAGATAAGCTTTATATGCTGTGGTTCCGAAAATTCAGTAAAACTTTTCCTACGATATCTATAAAAGTATCTCATTTTAACATCCAAAAAAATGAAGATAAGGCTCATAAATCTTGGACCAAAAATTAATTCCATGCAAATTAAAAATCATCGCTGCAATTTTTCATAATTAAAAAACCTCCACATTGCATCAAGTTCCAAATTAAAAATGACTTTAATATTTATTTTTTTATCGTGAATATAATTTCAGGTCACAGATGGAATTGCTCTGAAGTATGGCTGAAAGATATCTTCGGACATGTGATATCGGTAGGTTAGTATCATTTAAGCTTATCTCAGTTAATTTATCAGTATTTACCTACCTAATTAATTTACATATTAACATAGATGGAATCAACTTGAAAACAGCATTAAATATTTTATCAATGATTCAGTCACATGTTCCACAATGAACAGTGCAAAATTTGTATTGATTTTTTTTTTCTGTCATGATAAACGCAAACACAGCACATGTCAATATTTCATTTATAAACGACATTTATGTAAATCGTATGCAAATTAATTATTCTCTCACTCTACCTCATTTTACGGGATAGATTAAATCCTCAGCATATTAAAATGTAATTAATAATCATCATATTTTATTAATATGTGCAAATCCTTTTAAAATCATTGGCCTCAAACATTCCGAATATGATTTTTTTGTTTGTTTTTCTTTTCAACTTAAATTTATTAAAGATTAATTTTTTTATGTCGGGAGGCTTGGCTACTCCGTTTGTGTCATAAGCTGAATAAGGATGCAATAATTTTGACAAGATTATTTTTTTTTTTGAATTTTAATAAATTTATTGTATTAATTTTCGGTCATATTTTATCACAACATTCAGTAAATAGTCATCAGATGTGTACCTAGGAGATGAAGAGTTTAAGGTCTCCTTACTTCACTCCTTAAATTAATGTGTTATGATAATCAATTTCATAAACACATCAGCCATCTCAAAACACTAATTTGCATTTAAAGCGTCATTTTCGCCACAATAATTCATTAATCTCATTAACTCTTTTTTATAAAAAATAATTCCATATACATAATTTTGAGGTGAGAATTCCATCACACAAGCTGTCGATGTTAATATCCTGCTGTGCATTAAACGATTGTCGCTGTGATTTAATTACATTTTTTATGGCAATGAAAGCACTTTTTACATTGAATAATTAAATACAATACCAGATTTTCCTGCGCGAGTTCTTATTTCTTATTCTCACTTTTCTGCATTCATTCATGCTCTTTTTTTGATGAATTCTTTTTTTAATTTAGTTCAAATTCATGCTCTACTTGATTTTAGGAATCTTGAATGTGTCTTCCGTGAATATGTCAAATGATGGATTCATTCTTAATTGAAATGATTTGATAAACAAGTTCTAGATGATTGTGAAGACAGGATGAAAGACTGAGATAGAAATATACAGTAAAAAGGATGATTTGTTAAATGTTGACTGGTGTAAATGAAAAGTTATGCTGCATTAGCTTTGTTGGTGGCTTCTGGAACACATGGTAAATTGTGTCATGTAAAAACTCCAATTGGTTGAGTTCAAAAAAGTGTAAACGTAATATTGTAATATTCTTATTTGTAAAGAATTTATTAGGACTTGAACCTCAGTCTGCTCGAATTTTTTATTTTCGATTAGAACTTGTCAGATCTTTTGCTTAATTGAGTTGACAAAACATAAATTTTAACCATAAAACTTTTCAAAAAGCAATTCAAGATTTTAATTCTAGCAGAAATTTACTAGGCATTTCCTAGTAATTTGTTGGATAACTTTCCATTTGCCACTGGCTATTTACTAGTCAAAATCTAAGTTCAAATCATCGCCAAAGACCCGCATTTTCACTTGCTAATTGACTAGTTAATTCGCTTACAATTTAACTAGTAATTTACTAGCAAATTTGTAAAAAATTTAAATGAATATAACCGTTGATTTCCACGTGTTCTATTAATTTTTCTTATTTGTGTAAATTATTGTAAAAGGATTAGCGTGCACTTAGTCTAATTAATTAAAGTAAGTCGAACACTGATGAACGCCCATGACTCGCACGCAAACCTGATTAAGATAAATAATTAATTGAAAGTCACATAAAAATTTGAATCGACCTTATAAAGGTGATTTCTGCGCGCTCTTGTGAAGTATATGGCAAATGTCAAATTTAGAACAAAATTTTTTATGACGCAAAAAATTCTTTTCTTGATGATTTTTCGTAAGATTCGAACTTAAGCAGATTTGATCAAACATTTTACATGCTAATTTGCTAGTAAATAGCAAGTGTAATTTAATAACAGTAAGTTGTTTTAATAATATCTTGTAAATTGCAAGTTGTAGAATAGAAAGACTAGCAATTTGCTAATTAGTCTCGCTAGGGTAAGGATATTTTATAAAGAGTAACTCAAACAATAATCCCAATCAAGGTATTATCCTTAATTCCGATTAATAAATATTCCAAAAATCACCATTTTTATTCCCAAATACATAAAATTCCCCAAAAAATTCACAGAAGATTTTTCAACCTCAAAAGCACCAAACTTTTAATTAAATTAAACGATCTCCATTCATTTTCTTTCGTGTCGTGCCTCACAAAAATCAAGTTAAAGAAAAAATGTCACAGCAATTTTATTTTAGCAAGAAAAGCGTAAACATTATTGTGAGTAATCAGCAATTGCTTGCAATGACTTTACCTTTAAGAAGATAATGATATGTGATTAAGCACGCATGCATGCATTCAATTCCGCTTTTTTTCTTCTTCTTCTTCTTCATACTCATTCTCATGTTTTACTTTAGATATCTTAACTCGTAATGTCGTTTCTGTGCCTTTTTTTTTTTATTATATCACATATGTATAATGTTCTGTGATATAAGACAAAAAACTTAATGTTAGCTGTGTAGGCTTCTGGTTGTACAAAAAAGTTTATATTTGTACCTTGAAGACATCTCTTATTGTAGTACTTCGAAATAGCCTCAATATAAATACAATTGGAGTTAAATGATAAAGAGAATGTTCTTAAAGATTTATTGGACTAAATGTGCAGTTGGCGCATTTGCTTGTCGTTTTCAATGACTTCTGTTTCCATTTGCTACAACACTTGAAGCTATTGATTAGATACTAACCCAACCAGGTGTGAAGTCATAGTTCTATATTAGAATCTCCTAAAATATTCACATATTTCAGTTATTATAGGACCTATAAGCATGTCAATAGACAATCTTACAGCCGCAATACCCTCAATAGCTCCTCCAACAAAACAAACATTGTCCAAGAAAGAATTTTTAAAATAATTTTTTTTATCGCAATGAGAATGGATGTCCATATATAAAAAGATGGAAATATAAAATGAGAAATAATTGTGCATCAACAGAAGCTTCTTTCTCAAGAGACATTACAAAACGGTGGAAAAAAATATAAAAGTTAAAGAATGAAAAATTTATATCCAAACGATCGAATGAACTTGTTCTCTTGCATACACAATCGACCAGACATTTGTTACAATCGACAGAACAAATAAATGCGAGCGCATGATAATTTATGAGATTGTAATTTTTAGCATATTGCTGCAAATTTGTTGTATTGTTAATAGTTGAGATAACTTTAGGTTGTTGCTTTTTATAGAAATGTTAAGGAATTGTTAAGAATGAGAATGAAAAAAGTCTTAAAGGTATTCTTTACATTGTGGATTGTAAATTGGTTGTGGAATTTGTTGAATGAATTTAAATTAACTAAGGAGATTGCTAAATATGTTTGGAAGTAAGTGCGAAAACAGCATTTGAACTTTTGTGATTCATGTGTTGCATTTTTGTGGAATGGCAGATGAATTGGTATGGTACGCAGATATTAAATGCTTTTAGAAGATTTTGAACTTAAATAATTAATTTTACTGGCAAAATGCCATTCAACCTTAATTTTGAAATTCACAAGTTATTGACTTCATGGTCATTCCTTTCCTCATGAAAGATTTCAAAAAAGAATTGAATTTTTATCACATAACATAAGGTGCAAAGTTCAAAGTCCTTTCAAAACTTCCTGAACATATGTTTTAGCACCAAATTTATCAACCGTTCATTAACAGTAAATAATAAAACAAGAGAAATCAATTAGTAATCTTGACGCGACAAAAGTAGAAGAAATAAGAAAATTTACCACACATGAGAGGCACATAAAAAAATTTTTGCCCACCATAAAAAAAGATGCAAAATAAGGAGTGAAGAAGGCACAGAACAAGATATTATTTGTTACTTGTTGAGTACTTTACGACATAGAAATTGCTTGTCGAACGCATTAAGTGTTCGTGTGTTTATGGAAGTGCATGTTGAGCAAGTAATTGAATGACCATAAAAAGTCTTAAAGCTATTTGTAAAGTAATTAAATCCTCTCTTAAGCCTTCATTTTTTTGGATGATAATATCACGCGTTGCTGAGCATATGATTAAAATTGTCAATCGGTTACGCATCTCAGTAAATATCTCAATCTACAATACATGAAAAAATTCTTACAGACGCCTTAAAAATGAGAGTTCAATTAATTTTAATTTAATGTAGCTGAATATTCGAAGAAGGTTGGCAAAGGTACTGAGCAGATTGGGGTCTTCACATTGCCTTTTAATGATCAGGATGAGGACTTAGTTTCCAGATAGATTTGAAAAAAAGATCAACAGTCCTCCAGCTTTATACCATCTTCATTACTTCCCAGTTGGATTCACTAGCCTCCAAAAATAAAAAAACTCAGAAATTCGTCTCTCAAATTCCATTCAATTTCCTTACTTTTGTCTCTCTTTGTACCATTCTCATCTTGTTCAAGCACTCAATTACTTTTATGCTATACTCACATATGTGCTGAAATGTAATGCAGAAGATCTTATCGGCACACGTCGTTTGTTGTCGTTTCTTAAAAAACCTGATGACTTTCATTATGATTTTAATTCTGAGATACTTAAAGTTGGTGAAAAATGTCTGTAGATGCCAGTGGTGTGGCATGCTTTTAATATTTCTTTTGAAAAAATAATAATTATCCAATGTTTGATTGGTTCTGATCGCTAGTGTTCAATCGACTGTTGATGAAAAATGTTATGTCTTTTTGGCATGTGAGATTCTTAGAGTGTTAACATTGAGGATGATGTCGAACTGCTAAATATTGATGAAACTTTTTTTACGTTCTTTTAAATTGCTTTTGATTTTATGTTCGTTAATATTCACTCGTTAATTACATGTTATGAGGTCGTAAGATGCTTGAAATTTTTTGTGGAAATTTAAGATGTGTTATCGTGAATTTTATTGCTATTTTCTAAGTTATGCTGAATTTTTGATAAAATTGTGGTTTTATGGGAAAATTTATTATCATTAAGATAGATTCTATCTCTAGAATGTCGTCTGAAGTAACTGCAGTACTCCTTTATTTTGACTTTATCATCATCAACACCACTGGCTCCGAAAATAAATCACAAGTCAGCACCCAAATGTAAAATCCCAATTTTAATTACATGAGTTTGTAATTGCTGATAAAAATGGCATTTTCATGTACGATGTGGGATGCGCATACATATATGTAAGTTGTCAACAGTTGATGACAGTTTGAATCTCTTAATCATAAATAATATTGCAATTCAAAGGAATTAATGCTATACACATGTGCAACTGTATGTTGGATTCCAGGTTGAAGGGAATAACGGATGTGTCATTTAATTAGGTTGGATGTTTGATGTTTGAGTTTAAGATACTTTTGGCAGGTTTTGTAAGTGTAAATGGGTGGGATGATGTTTGGATTTACAGGTGATTGCAGGCGTTAATAATAAGATGATGAGAGTTCTTCCTGATTCTTTTACTTTGTATGACTATATTGATTTCAAATTAATGATGTGCTAAAGGAAACTTATCTTAATTTATAATCGAGCACAAAAAAAAAACATTTAAAGCATTTCCGCACACAAAGTTTCTTTTTAAAAATACTAAGGCAACCAAAACTCAATCAATTAGTGCCAAAACTATTCCGGAAACATCATTTAATGCCACAACTAGACGAAAATTATTATATTCTACAGTTATGAATATATGCTTTTAAAATTTTAGTGCTTATTGAATTATGCTGACAATTACAGTACATTGATATCATTTCAAGTGATTGAACATTTCAAATAAAATTCAATCAGACTTAAATGAAAGTTTAAACAGAACTTTCCAATAAAACCACAAATAGAATCAAAATATTTCCATCCAATCGAATCGGATTATTCCATTTTCTATATTTATTTTCAATTCCAAGAAGCATTTAATTGAATTTGATTTATTTCAAAATACCATTTTGAGTCAATTTGCAATTTGTCATCATGAGAAACTTCCTAATGAGAATGGAACATTGAATTGCTTATTTGTCATCGAGCATTTGTAAGCTGCTTAGCGATGATAGCTTTATAATCTTTTTTTTTTTTTACCTCTGTCATGAGTTTTGTTTTGTGGGCGGTGGCAGCAAACAAGCTGATGAATAAATTAAAAAGAAATTCATGTCTCATGTGTGCGCACACATTTGAATTTTTATTTTGTTCGCGGCATAACTTCTACTTGAAAATTGAATAAATTATCAGTCTATTGTAGTTTGTGACAGTTTTCAAATTGGCGCCATTGCATACAAAACGGGAGAAACTTTGCATTTATTTTTTTTTTTACTTTTGAGTTTAGCGAATTGGATTTGAATGAATGTTAGCAGTCAACCAATTAAGTTGCTCTATTGTTGCGAATATAATAAGGTGGGAATTTGAAAGATTTTAAATGGCTTGCGAAATGCGATTTCTAAGAGAAAAATTGCTCAATTCTCATATTTAAGCTCATTTTGGGTATTGTTTGATTGTTTTTGAAATTTTTGGGATTAGGCAGTTTGTAGGTGATTTCTGTAAGTATGCAAGATAAGCTTCTTGGATCGATTCTTTGGTTAAATATTAGTTTTATTGCTCTTCTGAAGTTTCTCGGTCTCGATTCTTGGCAAAAACTGACTTTCAACTTTTAAAATTCTTCAGCTATCATTTAAGTTGGCTCTCGTAACTTTCCTGCATAAAAATGCGCTCAAAGTACCAAAACTCGACATCCAAACCAAACGTTTAATCTAAATTCTTAAATCCATTGATTCAAAACTTATCCCATTATACTCGCGTCACACAAAAAACAGCAAATCAATAGTCGAATCCACAAAAATATTTTACCATTATTCAATTCTTTTCCTTTCTCGTCATCTTCTCCTTCCTCATTCACAAAAAAATATATTTTTTGCCTTTATTTTAATGTCATTATGTCGATTATAATATTATAAGAATTATGAGAAAGTTGAACGAATGAAGGAACTGAGAGGAATTGGATAATCATAAATTAGTTGATCGGTGCCATTTACTTTATAGATTCAGAATGGTTTTTATGAAGACTTTTTTTGCACGTGGTTACTCTCAGAAGAGTTTTTTGGTTGTTCGTGATTTTTTTTTTTGGGGTTGATTTGGTATAGAAATGGCTGGACAGCTTATAATTTTGTATATTGATGCTTCGGTAGGTTATATCAAAGGAATATATACTAAGTATGAGATTCATATATCTTTAGTTTTAGTAGGATTCGAACCAATGTTTGCTGTGCCTTTTTTTGCGAAGATTTAAAACCGTTCAGACAAAACTTAACAAATTCAAATGTGCTTGTTGATCACTCAATAATCCTCAAAACTTCCCAACTTATACAAACCAAAGAAAAAATCAATTTTTTTCTTCATCTTCATCAATTTTTCTCTCCGTTCATTCTAATTTCCTTTCAAAAATATTTTTAACTCCTATCCAATGTTAATTTTCATTCATAAGCCAAAAAAAATATGAAAAATCTCAAAAAAGATGCCTTTTAGCTACAAATTATTCAGAGATAATAAATGAATACTAAACAAGTCATATTGAATTTTGTTTATGTTGAATTTATTGCGACCACCTAAGGAGAGGTAAAAAGAGAGATTTTAAGAGAATGCATAAGAACAATGAACATTACTGTCGTATTTATGTCTTCGAAAATGATATAGAATTGAACAAGAATGGATGATAAGAAGGAAAGAATACTTTGCAAACGTACTGGATATTGTTGAGAATGAAGGATATTGAGGGAAATCTTAATTAGAGTAAAGTTGGATTAGTTGGATGTTATGAGATATTGAGGTCCAATTTAGATGATCATTTGGTTTTAGTCTGGGGATTTGTTTGGTTTTCAATGGAATTGATGATATTGGATTCGAAATATTCTTTATGAGGCTACAAGATGACTGCATATTGATTATGCTTGTTAATCTTCCAATATTTGAGCATGTTCAGTTGAATATTACATCCTTAATTTACTGGGATTTATTAAAAAAAAAAGAAGATGTTCAAAAATAAGATCTAGCATCATTTAGATCCATCTATTAGTATTCTGACTGTAGAAATATCATGTAGAAGAAGTAAGTCTTGCGCCAAAACTCATCAGTGACCTCAAAAAAAAATCTTCTTATAATTTCCAATAAATTGATTAATTTTCATCGGCACATAAAGTCACAAACAATTGATAAAGACATTTGCTCTCGTTATCACATCATCATGACCATAAAATTTACATGCACATGGATGGATATCCCTCGAAGCAACTTCGCTGTGTTGAACACATTAACATAAACTACCGTTTTATTTTCGCATAACATTAAAGTGTCAAAATGTATGTTAAGGAAATTTCTGTTCTGTTTTTTTCAGGCTCACGTGAGGCTGCATTTACATATGCTATAGCAAATGCTGGCGTCGTTTACGCAATTGCCGCAGCATGTAGTCGCGGAAATATCTCAATATGCGGTTGTGATCAGTATTATAGGCACCAAATTGCTTATCAGGATGAATATTCTCAGGTAAGTTTGTTGACATTGGCTGGCACAGACAGGCAGGCAAGCATGTATTGCTCACAAAAGCAAAGGGGAAAACAATTACGAGATTTTTTTTCTTATCTCTCATCTTACTTTTTATGTCTTCTCTTCTATGCCTTGTTCATGTGCATTTCAACTAAATTATTACTGCCGTTTTTTTTTTTGTATTTCGGTAGCCATGGAAATGGGGAGGATGCTCAGTTGACATTGATTTTGGTATAAGATTTGCACGAAAGTTTCTTGATGCACGCGAAATTGAGGCTGATGCTCGTAGCGAGATGAATTTACACAACAATCAAGTTGGACGAAAGGTAAGCTTGAACTTTTATTGTATTGAGGTTAATAATGTGGTTGAAGCTTTATGTGGCCATTTTAATGTAGGAAATGCTTTGTGTTTTGAAGAATCTTTGTAGATTTAGTCAGTTAATAGCACCCAATAGCTTGCAACTCAACTTACAAAAAAAAATATCATTTTTCTGTTTAAATAGTGGATAAAGGAAGTAAACGATCACTAAACGATCAATATTATACAAGTCTAAAATTCATAAAACATGACGAATGCATAACACAATCTTTCATGTACCTACATTTCATCTGATCGCTAAGGGGCCATTCACTTATTACGTAACGCTTTTAGGGGGAGGGGGGGGTCTAAGATTTTGTTACGGTTCAAACAAGGAAATTTTTTTTCATACAAATTTTGTTACGAGGGGGGGGGGGGGGGGGTCTAAGAAGTCATTTTTTCGCGTTACGTAATAAGTGAACAGCCCCTAAGACATGACATGATTTATCGAAATAGTCAGAAATCTTAAATTTATTAGCATTCATCAACATTTTGAAATCATCAAACATTCATTAATATGCATTACTAGCCCATAAATCTGCTTATAAATCGCTCACGTCGTTGTCAAACACTTTTATTCCACGATTATGTTAATTTTTGATGATATTTAAAGCAGTTTTAATTTTGATTTAAGTTTGCCTAATCCTTGAGTTGATAAACTGATTTAGAAATGAATCTAGAAGTTTAACTAGTGAAGCTAGGTTTTTTGTCACCTTGACTATACTTGGTTTGAAAATCATCAACTTTGCGAACACCCAAAACTGTACGGTAATTATTTTTCACATCATTTTGTTCCACCTTTCTTATTCGATTGGTTGTAATATGTCGATAAACTTTCAATTCAACAACTCAATTATAATTTTTTTCTCTCTTTTACATTGCACCTTAAGTAATATATCAGAGAATTAAAGTCTTTTTCAACACTTATTCCAATATGCAATAAATTTTTTCTCTTTAAAAGATTGTCAGGTTAAGGTGACATGTTGATACTTTTAATACATTGTGTATTAATTGTAAACAAGATTAACTGAGAAATTGCTATAAAAGACCTTAAGTAGGTTGTATATTTAGACATTTCACGTGCTTCTTAATCCAAATAAAAGTTGACATTAAGAAGTTCTTAATAAGAAATTTTCAGTCGCACTCAATAATTTATCTTTCTCATGCCGGCCTCTTAAAACTGTCAGAAAAAATTTCTTTTTATATATTTTTTCTCTCGTTGCACCTTTTTGACACCTCATAAGTACACAATATCTTATATGAGTGCAGTCTCACTTGATAATAATTGCCATAAATTAACACCACATATTCGACATGTATGATAGTCTTTTTTTTTTGAGATTGAGAAACGCAAGTGTGATTATTGATGTATCGTAGTGGAACAACTCATTTATTATATTAAATTACATTGCTGAGAGTCTCACAGTTTGTGTTTAAAGAACGATGCTGTGACGGCGCTGTGCAATTTTGCTCCTCATCATCTTTTTTTTTGCTGCCCTTTTGACATTTTTCTGTTCTTTTCTTTTTCGTTGATTTCGTTCATGGAATTTTGTTGTGAGTTCTTGAGAAAATGATTTTTGGATGTCGTGCGATGTCTGACTTTGTGTTGTGGAGATTAGGCGGTGGTGGAATCTGCCATTGGTTCTAGGAAGTCTACACATTTGAGGATGGAGTAACTAGTATCTTAGATACATAAGGGTGTATTGAGAAGTGCGAAGCTATTTAAAAGTTTGCATCTTCTTTAAAAAATGTTTAAAAATTTTAAAGCTTATTAACTTCAACAACATCCATTAAAGCATCCCAACAAACAAAATGCGCCCAAATCACCTTCCCGACTTAACCTTTAATCCTTACTCTCGATGATATAAAATAAAGAAAACCTCATCGATTATTATCAAAAGCATGAATTGCCATTATTATCCCATTTTCATTGATTCACATATAATATTATTATTATTTTGGGCGTGAAGAAAATGAAAGAATGAAAAAAAAAGAGAGAAAATGATTGAATCACATTGATATGCCACAAATTAAATTGATTGTGTTGACTCATTGCATTAACCTCATAAATGGCCTGCAATTTCGCATGAAAAACCTCAAAATGTATTATTTGGAATTTTTCAGATTGTAAGAAAATTATTAAAGAAAGACTGCTTATGTCACGGAATCTCTGGAAGTTGTTCGCTGAGAACATGCTGGAAAACATTGCCACAATTTCGTGAAGTCGGTGATACGCTCAAAATGAAATACAAAAAGGCTAAAATGGTTGTGGCACAAAATACTGAAACGGGAGTTAATTTAGTCATTAAAAGGTAAGAATTTTTTTGTTGAGGCTGTAAACTTTTTTTTGACTTGACCACTAAGTATGATTAATGGCTAATAAATCAATTTTTGTTTCGTCGGCATTTTACAGAGGTAAATTAGATAAAAAACCTGTGAGACCAAAGAATATGGATTTAATTTATTTAGAATCATCACCTACGTACTGTGAAAAGGATATTTATCTTGGATCATCAGGTAATTCTCTTCCCATTCTTCGTAAGGACGTCATTCGTTGAATTGATTTATAATCAACTGATCTACTTTTTACACTTTCTATTTCTATAAACATCAGGCACACATGGACGTAAATGTAACAGAGCATCAAAGGACACAGACAGCTGTGCAACATTATGCTGTGGTCGTGGTTATGTGACAAAATTATTTCATCGAACATGGCAATGCAATTGCAAATTTATATGGGACATTATGAATGTTAAATGCGATATTTGTAACGAACGTACTGAAGAATATTTTTGTAAATAATTTATAATTAATAAGAATATTGTGAGATACGAAAGGATATAAATAAGTAGATAATAAGTTATTTTGGAAATATTTATGAAAGTAGAATTTTAAGATTAAGATAACATTTATAACATATTAAGATTAATTTATAAGATAAATGTCCACATTAATCTAGTAATGTAGAGGCAATTAAATTGTCTGTGGATAAGTGATAAGTCGGATGTATCATAATTAAAAATTGTATTCCTTTAAAAAATCACATTTCCGATATTTGTTTAATAATAAAGTAATTAAGATTGAGTTAAGAATTAAATTCAGTAATTTTTGAACCTAGTTGTACTTATTTTTAATAAAATAAGAAACTTGTAAAAAGAAAAGATTGAGTTTTATTTTTAAGTTTCAATTTATAATTTTCAGCTTTTGTTTCAGATCGTGAAGTTCAGAATTCTATCTTCAGTCTTCCTGAAAATACTTAAAATTCCTAAAAAAGCTCATAATTCAAAGAACATAAATTAGAGTTTTAAAATATCAAACTTAAACTCTAATAACGGTTAAAAAATATTCAAATTTATATGTTCCTATATTTTTTTATAGTATCCTATTTGCGCGTATTGTGTGCGCATGTATTGGTGAAAAAATTACAAATTTATAGCAAAAAAGCTCAGCTACCGAACTTTTGAGTAAAAAGAGACTTTTACGATTTCCTCGATGGAAATAAAATTTCTTGTTCTTTTCACGGCAGTCGTGTAAGCAACAATTCCTAGTCCACATGATCATGCAGATAAGTTCGGAAGTTGTGAAGTGTTTTTTATGTGAATAATCCAAAAAGGAATTAAATAAAGAGATAAAATTCACTTAAGGAAGTAAAGTTAAATCCCTTAAAAAAAAAAGTTATGAGGATAATAATAAAAATAAAAATTCTAAGCCTTACAAACGTTCTTATCAGCAATAAATAAACAATGACAATATCATCGTCCAAGCACATTTTCAAACATTTTTCCAGCAACTGGAACGCATCAAGTGCGCAAACGCACGACAAGAAAAATTTTTTTCAGCTTTTTCATTGATTGTTCCATCACAGTGTAATTTGAAATTTTCTCTTTTACACTGAAAAAGTTTTTAGTGCTTGAAAAAATTACTATAATTAATGAATAAGTGATAAATTAGCAACTAAAATGGATAAAATTGTGAGGCCAATCATTGGCCCGACAAAATTACGGTATTTTAAGTGACAATTTCACATTCGATTGAGGATTAAATTGAAATTGAAATTTTTTTCGAGTGCCAAACTTTTTTTTTCCTTCTCCCTTGGATGGCTTGCGAGACATTTTTTATCGACTTGTATCGAACATGAAAAACATGGTTGTGAAAAAAGTCACTTCTTGTGTGGATTATGTGGAAAAGTTTGTGAATTGTGAGTGTAAAAGAGGACATAAATTAATTCAAGGATAATTTTTCAAATGTCTGAAAAAGCTTCTCTGAAAAAAAGGGGAAATTTTTTTTTCCTCACATTTTTCCTTTCATTCCTGGAATGGAACTTTTCATTGATAAGAGAGGAGGAAAAAAGAAAAATTTAACGCATACAATTGCCATCATCTTTGCTTATGTACAACAAGCATAACCAACACATCCTTCAACGAAAAAAGTTTTCATTTTCTTCTTTTTTCTTTTCTCGATTTTTCTTGCTTTTGCAATTTCGTGAAGGAAAATCAAGAAGGAGAAGAAAATTGTGATTGTAAGTTGTGAATTTTACTTATTGTAGCTATCGATTGAAATCTACAAAAGTGCATCCCGGATTTAATTGATCAATGAAAAGGTTTTTAAATATTTATTTCATGGACGTATTTTTAATTTCTTTCCAAAATCTATCGATGACAGTTTCTCTGTGTAATAAAAAAGTGAAAAGTTTTATGAGAATTTCAAATTTTTCGATAATTATTGAGGCAAATTTCTAATGAATTAGATTAGAACTTTGTCTATTGTAATGTTTAGAAAATAATTCTTATTTCTTAGCTAATTATTATACACGACAAAATTCCTAAAAATAGTGAAGAACATCTTCGAAAGTTTGAAAAGCAAAAAGCTCAACTTAAGTTTTTAGTTTCAAGAGAGAAATTTCCTAATCCGATTAAAAGTTTAACAACAAAAATCTTTTTTTGTGCTAATTGATTTTTGCCTTTTTCTTTTCAACTCAATTTAGAAATGAAACTGTTTTATGCTGTACCAGAATTTTCAAGTCAATAAATGTATTCTGTATAAAACTGCAGATCACTTCCTAGCTTGTGGCATTCAAAAATCGACATTGAAAGACTTTTCAAGTGTAAGATAAATAGGGTTTAAGATTCACATCAGACTTGAGCTTGATTCGGGACCTGTAATTAGAAATTTTGAAAGAATTAAAGCAGAAAAAGGAGGCAGAATGATCAATTCTTTTTAATGCAATAACAATTGAGAATTTCATGTTTGAATCACACAAACGTCACGCTTTTCTCTTGTCTGATTACTCTAAGTTTCATAACTAGTTCAAATTCTTCAATATTCCTTGATCTCAAAATAAGCAATACATCGATCTGGAATTAATACAGACCTAGTTTTTAAAAAGTTTTATTAGATGCTTCGGATGTTTTCCTTCCAGTAATTACCAAAGTTTTTCACAAAAAATTATTTTTAATAAAATTTCTCAAGAAAAAAATGTCACATAGAAACAATTGCTCTTATGAAGATGAACAACGTTGGCAGAAGTTCAAAAACTCGGTCACCAACCTCTACATGAAATTTTCATCATATATAGTAAATATAAGAAAAATCGTGTAACATGCTATACATGTGACTATTGCATTATTGTCACGTGATGCAATGAAACTGGAATAAATTTTTTTTACATTTTTTGAGTTGATGTGTCTGCTCTGACAGTATATATTAAAATATTTTTTGACATCTAATTTATAAGATCCAGCTATAAACTAAAATCAATTTCTTTAACAATCTTAAAGATTTGAAATAAGAATTGATTGACATCATTTAATAAAGCACTAAAAAATTCAAATAAAATGCACATTAGCATAAAATTTTGAATAGATTCTTATTTCACATAAAACACTTACAATTGAAAATTTTCTTCCTACTCACCATAAAAGCATCTTATTTAATGTACTTCAAGAAATAATTTTGACGCTTTTGGAAGTGCCACTCAAGTTTAAATTGTTATCTATTCATAGAGTTAAATATAACCCTGCCATATTTTATGATCTTTTCACGACTTGAGCGTTGAAAAATAATATTTTACGATCGAAATGACACGGCGTATCCTGTTGAAAAAAAAAACATTACAGACTTAATTTTTATGTGACTTTTCGTGTTTTTAAAATATCCGTGTGACTTTTATCCTTTTTCTTGTTCATCCGGGCTTAATTTTCATGACAAACATTTGTCATAAATAATAAATGGGAAAATAATTGTTTGAGAATTTTTAGAAGCATAATGGAAGGGGAAGGTAAAAGCTGTCTGAACTCTAAAATTGACAAATGAAAGCTTCTGTTGGAATATTGTTGGACATTGCTATGAAGAAAAAAGTTCTTTTTTGCAGTGTAAGGTATAATTTTGGGAAAACTTTTTACATTAGTCAAGCATTTTTTGGGATGTTCTGAATCAAGTGGGTGGTATTATTTTAAAATTTTATGATTCTTATTGCTAGATCTGAAACTATTGGTTATGAAATTCACATAATCTCCTTCAAAACTTTATGTAAAGGTTTGAATATTGTAAAAGTCTTTTTTTTCATTGATAATTTGTCTAAATTGGTAGGAAGTGAACCTACATCCTTCAGGTCTAGTTCAATATTTTGAATTCCACCTTCATTAAATGCTACAAATCTCAAAACGAAACCAAAAGTGATTTCACGCAACATCACACAATTTCATTCCCTTGGTTAACTTTGAAATGACTTCAATTCCCAAGGAATTAATAAAACCAAGACAAAAAACTAGGTCACAATGAAATTTTTTGTTCTTCTTTGAATTTAATATGCAATAAATATTTTTACTTCTTCGCTGCATATTTTCTTTTCATCGTCTACCCTCCTCACACCGATGGAATGCTACAACAAAGACTTAGAAGTCCAAAAAAATTAAATTATGATCAAAATCGTGAGATAAAGTCAAAGAATTCTTTACGTTTACTCATGAGAGACGCTATACAAGCTTGAATATATCAACTAGCAGACCCATTTCTTCAAACATGACAGTTGTTGTTTGTTCTTATCACTATAATTATATCTTGGTATGGAAATGGGGTGATAAAAATTAAATGGATGAATATTTTATTTGGAATTCATTTGAATTTATGGAAATGTAAGTTGCATGTTTGAATTCAGCAAATAGTGTGGAAGCTGAATTAATCAAACGATGAACTAGCTGAATTCACCAAACGCTGAACTAGCTGAATTCAGCAAACGCTGAACTAGCTGAATTCAGCAAACACTGAACTAGCTGAATTCAAAAGAAAAAATCCCTTTAACTTCTTCGTTCTTCTAAAATAAAAATCGATAGATATTCAAGTGAAACCACGTGATAGAACCATAAAAGTACATTCCATGACCATCTTACTTACTTAGTAAACTTTTGATTTGTAAACTACTTCAATAATTTTATTTCCTATTCATGAATGAAATGAAGTAGAAAGTTGACAATAAAATGTGAAGTGGATATAACCGGAAACATTACTTTTTTCTCCTTTCGTCTTAATAAACTTCCACGGTATGAAGCATGCAATGGAATGTATGTGTAAGGAAATATAAACAAAAGAAATTATTATGTATATACTGACTCCCGTTTTACTATTAATAGTCTCTTACTATGCCACATAAAATATTGATTTCCTTACTTTTTCCTTTCTTTACTGTATGTCTTGTATTTTTCATATCAGTGTGTATGTGAAATGTATTCAGCAGCAAGCCATGTTATCCCATTCCATTATATTTTATGTAGGAAAACGGGAGAAAATTTCTTTTCCCACTTTTTTTTATGTTTCTTGCGCCTACAAGCTTAAGTTTCTTTTCTTCTTCGTTTTCAAAACTTTATCGGCCTGTTTCACTAAAGTGGATTATCCTCGATTTCGGATTATCCACTTCAGTTTTTTGGAAATATCGCCAGACGCTTAAGGTTATTAAGAGATCTAATGTGTGATCTAGCAAGAGTACTTTGTTACTTAAATCAACATATACTTAGAATTTTTATATCTTCACTAGTTTGAGAATTATAGCAAAAATTGAAGTTAATCTACTAGATTTGGCTAGGAAATTGAATAATTGATAGTTCTTAACGAAAAGTAAAAGTTTAAAGTATACAGAAATTTCAGGCATAGCTCACTCTATTATAATCCAAAATTAGAAAATCCACACCTCCCATAAAGTTTAAGATATTTCCAAAAAACTGAAGTGGATAATCCGAAATCGAGGATAATCCACTTTAGTGAAACAGGCCGTATGTCTTTCTTCCTCCCGTTCTGCACATTATAGAGAACAGATATTTTAATAATAGTTTTCTTTGGTGGGAAAAATTTTATTTCTTTGTGTTTTTATGAAATAAAAACTTTTAAATTAAGGATTTTTATGAGCTCGCATTTAAAAATGTGGGATGGAAATGTTAAAATTTTTGGCTAAGTTGCTGGATTGTTAGTAAAAGAAACGCATCTAATTCAGCATAGCTGATTTCAGCTTTTTAATCTTCTTCAGCGTTTTTCAATTCTTTTTCAATTTTTCAATTTTAACGTTAAGCAATTTTAAGGAATTCAGCGTTGCTGAATTCAGCTATCTAAACACAATTTCAATTCTATCCAAAGTCAAAGTGACCAATTTACTTAATTCTTAATCAAAATAGCACATTTAAAAAAATATTGTCTTTTCTTCTTGGTTTTGCTGCACTTACAAATTTTCTTCTTAACAATTTTCTCAACTTTTAATGCCAAAAGACGAAGAATTAAAATTAGAATGAAGAATTTTTCTCTCCCGTTCAGCTTCTTTTTATAGCCAATATTTGTTGCTTCCATAAAAAATATTTCATTAACTTTTTCGGATGATTTTCTGTGTGAAGTTTATTTATGGTGAAATATTTTTAGACATTAATGAAATGGAAATAGAGAATAAGGATTAATTAACGATTTCCTATTACAAAAAAGTAAATTATGTTGGATTTTATAGCTTGCGGATGTTGAATTATAACAAGCATTAAGTGGGCGATTGAATTGTAAGTAACACATTTTGAATGGTAATTATTAATGAATTGTAATATTTTCATTTAATTGATTAAAAAATCATTTTTGGCTTCGAATTTTGAAGATTTCTCTGTAATGAATGAATGAAAGTCTTGTGTGGGTTTTGAATTGTGTAAATGATCTCAATAAAGTAAATAACAAGTTCTGAGAATTTTCCATTGAGAATTTTGGTTTCTTAGCAACAAAAATGAATGTCCTTGTAGAGATTTCACACTTTAATTTAAGGGAGTCAGTCCTCTTACTACAATCTTTGTTACTAAGGACGAAAATTAATATTAATAGCAACCGAAACCAAAAATCATCCCAAAACCATTCCTAAGGACACAAAAACACAAAACTAATTGATTAAAAGCATTAAATTCCATCTCATAAAATTCATTAGAATGAAATGCTTGAATCTAATTTAGTTGAATATCTCATCATCATTGCTGTCGTCCTTCAACACATTCTCATTTTGCTGCGTAGGAAGTCCATCATGGCATAATAGAAAGAAAAAATAAATAAATAAATTGGGATAACCAATGGAGTGTAGGCGTTCTACCTGTTATCGGCTTCTGGTATTCATGATGAATTGAATGAAGAGCAAGTCTAATATTAGTTTTAAGAAAAATGGTCTTGAACGTTTAGCGATTTTTTAGATATAAGATCATAATTTTGAGGCTTTTGAAGGAATTCGTCATAAAATTAATAATGACATTATCAATTGATGCTTAAAATAGCCTAAATAATTCATAATGCCATCAATTTTCCTCATTATTTCAAAAATAAGCTACAAAAGCTCGATTCAAATTTTCCTTTGTAGTGGGAGCCATGTGGCAATTGTAATTGAATGGTGGCAAGCAATCCATTAAATTGCTTCCAAATGGTTTTCATTATAAGTTTTTACTGCTTCAAATAACGCAGATTATACACATTGAAGTTGAAAAAAGTATAGAAATTTCTATTGCCCACATTTTTTAAAGGATGAAACTTGAGAAGTCTTTAAAACTTTAATTCATTATTTTTCATAAACAATAAAAAAGCAAAATTCATTCAAAGCTAATAAAGTCTACCCAATGTTCTTGGAAAGTTTTTTTATTTTCCTCCCTATTGACCTCATAAATAGTCATGAGTAAGTTCATAATAAATTCAAATGGGAATTGACAGAGATTCATAAAATAGGAGCATTAAATTTCATGAATTTGCTTCAGTTTAGGTAACAATTTGAGAGTGGGGCGGGGGACTATTTGCAATGGCTTACTTATGAATGACATTTTGTCATATAGTCCAATATAGTAAGGTAACTCACGATAGCTCATTGATAAGAACTTACAGCTAAAATTGTGGCAGGTTGGTTCGAGTCCTACTCGAGTTTGCTGTCTCGATAATCAAAAGCATTCAAGGAATACTGAAATTTCATGCAAATGAAAAACAGTTCAACAACAATTAAAAATTTAATTAAATTCTCGCAGATTTTCCATCCATTAAACTATGACCGCATCTCAACAGAACCACAAACAAAGATTTTATAGACCATCAATGTGAACTTCTAATTAGCTCCATAAATTATGCTCATTGATTCCTAATTGAGTTGATAGAAATGTCTAATTTGAATAGAAAATAAACAGAACTGAAATGGGAAAGAGAGAGTCTGACTGTCTGACGGCAATAAAAACTGACGGAAAAGCAGCCACAAAATGATGAGAAATGAAAATTAATTTTTCATTTATTGCCTTTTCGCGTTTGCAATATTCATGTTGTATTGTGTATGAATGTCAGAAGCATACAACCGAGCAATAATGTTGTTTCCTCCTGAAATGCTTTCTATATTTAGCCTTGATATCCTCGCTCATAAACTCACAGTGTACGTATAATTTCTCTTTTCAAATTAAATTGCCATCGCCATCCATAATATGGGGAAATTTTATTCTTATATTTTACATCAATATGCGTGCATGCAATGTAAATGACATAGAAAATTACTTCCATTGTACAGGAGTGAGGAAAAAAATACGTTTATTGGAAGGTCGGTTGGGAATTTTTTTCATGAGTTCTTTTGCGATGGCGCATCTTCCAAGGCTTTGATAGATTTTTTTGGAGGTTATGTGAATTATTTCTAAAGCAAAAATTGAAAAGAAATTGAGATCAAAATACAGGTTTTTGAGGGTTCCAATTTTAACGGTTTTTCTAAACAAATTTTTTGAATTCAAATTTTAACGGAATTTTGTCAGCATTAATCAATTTAGACAAATCTAAAAATAATATCAAAATCACAATCGACAGACAATCTGCATCCACAAAAAACTATCCACATCACCAAAACTGCTAACGCTACGTTATTTTTATTGAACATTCTTTATTCCATTCAACGTACGCATCAGCGCATCATAATTGGCACTCGAAAAATGTTCATTATTGTATGTCAATGAAATCCTCGCCATCGAACTCTTCCATAATGATTCATTATATTTAATGCAAGTGTATTTGTGTATGCCATGTGTATTTGTATTTCCAACACGGTGTCTACAAATGCTCGTGCATATCAACAATTAATATATCCTATTATTACTATATTACCATCTCTCTTTATCGTTTTGTTCTTTTTATTTCCCTCTCTTCTTTAATTAAAAAGTAGTCGGTGAGAATCACACATAAAACTAATAATAATAAGTGGAAGGAAAACAAGACGAAAGAAGAAGGAAAGAGGAGAAAATCATTTTTTCAGTCTACGACATCCAACAAGCCAAACGAATTAAAACCAAGACGGCAAAGAATGTTTGAAATGAGATAAGAAATTCTCTGTTAATCTATCCGAAAAAAACGTATATGTAGGCAATAAGATAAAGACGACGGTGGAGCTTAAAGTTGTATGATAAAAGAAAGGAGGCAAAGCTCCCTACGTGATGTGTTCAAGTGAAAAAACGAGAAAATTTTTGAATGGAATTTTTGCGAGGGTGAAGAAATTGCCGTGTAGCAACATGTGGAAGTAAAAAAAAAGTTCGTCATTTGAAAAGTGTAAAGTACTTACATACATACTCATACATTATCAGAGATAAGCAAAAAAAGAAAGAAAAAAGTTTTAAAAAAAATAAATAATAAGATCGTGAAGATTAACGCGTGGTGCCAAGTGTAACGCGGATCATTTTTGTGTGAATCGAATAAATAAGCACGAAACTTACGTGAAGCACGAAGCTTTGGTTTAAAAATATAAAAAAGTTTCTGTTTTCGGTGAGAGTGAGTTCAAGGATTTTTACGATCCTTTAATTTTTTCGGAAGTATAGGAGGAGAATTGGAAAGCCGACAAAATTGTGGGTATGTATTTAATATCAATGTCTAAATGAATGAATGATTTACTTCTACATCAGAAGTTACATAAAGATTTTATTTTATTTTTAAGAGAGAAAATGAGAAAAGATGTGCTGTGAATTGTAAAAAAAGTCTTTATTCTTTTCATCGATTTTCTTCTTGGATGTGTCGTTTTAAATTTGGATGAAGACGGGTCATCTTGAAATTTATTATTGGATTAGAGTGTCAGCAAAGTTTGTCATTGATTAGAGGAAGCGCGCTGCTTTTTGGACATTAATTATAAAGTTCAGTCATTTTTCTTAATCTTGCAATTAGAAAAAGAATTATTTGGTTAGATTTAAGGGTGTTGTACCTTGGTCAAATATGAAGTTTTCATAAAATTGTTCAAAGTTAATTATTATGGAAAGGCAAATTCTTTTGGATTACTAAATCTAGTTTAATCATTATTTAATAGTTAATAACTTCCCTTGCGGTTAAATGCTATCAAAACTTTCTAAACCAACCTACTTAAAATATCATTAGCACTAGCTACCTTTCAAAAACACCAATAATTCCATTTTGACAATTTTCTAGTTTTCACAAGCATAGCAGAACCAAATCGTTTGAACAAACTAAATTATAACTTTTCCATACACTCAATATGCGGTGTCATGTTCAAATAAAAATGTCTAATTCAAGAGCCCCGTTGAGTTGCACACACCACATTATAAAATCAATATCGAAAAAAATTATCAAGAATGAAAAGCTTTCGGTTTCTTTTTCCATTTTCTCTCTTTCTCATTTCTTTTTTTTCATATTCAGATGACATTTTTGAATGCATTGTGTTCGTGCATTATTTTTCTTTATGTGCTGAAAATTATTATTTTGATCATAAATTCAGAAGTTCATGCTGAAAAAGAATTGGATTTTTTTTTGCATAATTTTGTTCATTTTTTTCTCATGTGAATAGTTTTTTTTTTAAATAAATAAAAGTTTTTGTCAGTAAGAGTCTCTTTTAATCTGATAGAAGTTGGCTTGAAAATAGCTTGCTGGTGAATGGAATAAGTTGGTAGCTTAGATAGAGTTGTCAGATTAATTTTTATAAAATTGAATAAATTTCAATTCAACATTTTCTTAAATTATAAAAAAATATTTTACAATTTTAATTTTTAAAACTTTAAATAGATTTTTACAAACTTTTTCAAAAAAAACATAAATTTTTTAAAATCTAAGTTTCCTACTAGCCTTCAATGTCCATTTTATTTCAATATTTTAAAGCTAACTTTTATCAGCACTTTTAATAAAAAAATATTTTTTTCTTTCATTTGTTATCTATTGTGACATATATGCGCATTTCTGCAATTATATTCACTCCATTTTCTGTGTCTATTCTCTACTTTTTGTGTGAATATAATTTTATTTCTTTTGTTTTTTGTTAAAAAAGCGAATAAAAAGCAAAAAATAAAGCAAATAAATTTGAGAATATAATAAGTTTGCACAAAAAAAAATCCTTAATCGCACATGCAATCAAGCTATAAGTAAAAAAAATGTTTAGGAAAAATGTTGGAATTTATATTCAATTAGTATCACAGTGGATTATTTAGTAGTTTTTTGAATGTGGCTCTAAACATGCTTTTATTTCTGTGGTGCATTTTTCAAGTCTTTTGATTTTTTCGTCTCAAAATAATTAAACTATTTCAAATAATAACAAATAGGGGCATATAATTGAGAATAAAGTTTGAAATTTGAGTTTTCAATATTTAAAACCTCAAGAACCCTGATTTATCCATAATATTTAGATGCAGCAGCCCTAAAGCCAGAAAAATGCACCACAACTATTTATAAAAGAGCACTTTGTAACTTGATCGATGTCTTCATTTCGACAAGAAGGAAAGATTTTTTTTTGACTCTTTTCTTTCCATTCTATTTAGACTAAAGAGATATAAAAGATCCGCTTGATTGAGCTTTAGATATTTTTGTTGCTCCATCAAGATTCCTTTACATAAATCTTTATTTTTTTTGTGTTGTTCCTACTTTTTTATGGACTCTCTCATTCCATCCACTAAAAAAATCACTAAACCATCTCGAAATCTATTTTTTTGTATGTATGTATGTATTTATCCTATAATCAAGTAGAAACTAAGAGTCAAATAATCCATGAAGTTTTATTTATAGCATTTTCTCATTGCTCTAGTTAGCAAATACTCATCCATTTTTATTATGTACTCTATCTCTACACAAGTTCCATCAATTTTGATGTTATACATACATTATACATTTTTATTCTTGTTGTTTCATGTAGATTTTGATATCCAACTCTATCTTTCTATCTTTCTCACTCACACTCGCTCTCTTTCTCGTACCTATTTGTGTGCAGTACAAATAATGTTGTCGTGAAAAGACATGGAAATTCACGGTAGATAGAAAAAAAACACTTACTCATCACTACCAACTTTATTTTCTTGCCTTGATTTCTTTATTTATTCACTTTATCTTTGATACTATGATGAATGATATTTAATAAAAATGCAAATAAATAGTTTTAAGGACGAGAAAAGTGCACTGGAAGTTGTAGAATGTATGTTTGGGAATTGGATCTTGAAAGTATCTATGTCTTGAGCTTTTGGGGTTTCTTTTTTACAATTTCTAGTCTTCAAAACTGCGACAATAAGCAAGTTTGTTTAAATTAATTTAAAACATAGCTTAGTTTTAAGTTTGAGCAAAGATAATGGTGGCAGACTGAATATGTGAATTTTAATCCCTTAATCCAAACCATTCCTAATTAAAGGTTGAAACTTTTCCATTTTAACAGTAAAATCATTATTAATTCCTGTATTTCATATGATTCATTTACCTTTCTTTCTTTCCAACTCACTGAATTTTCCCAAATGACACATCTCAATTACAACTACCACAATTCATCTCAAGCAAGTTTATATCAAAAATAATTCATGGCTGACATGCTGTTGTCATTTGAAATCTATAATGAAGAATTTCTCAGATTGATTAATGATAAAAATCTTGAGAAAATTTCCTCTGTAATCAGCATCGAGAATTCAAGCACGTGTACCTTCTTTAAGAATTTTTGAGGTTATGCGTACTTCATTAATTCTCATTTTCTTGATCCCAAAAATAAAACAACGAAAATGTCACTGACTTGACATTTGCTAACAAGAAAAATGTGTCTGTATCTTCATAATTCCCTAGATATAGCGTACACAAGAATTGTTGATCAATAAGACTGAAAAATACATAAATCCATGACGTCATGAGCAATCGAAGAAATAAAATAAAATGAGCCGCATAAAATTTATTTTTAAATGCTCGTAATACTTGAAATTGCACGATAATAAACGGTTTTAAATTGTATGCAATTTTCTAAATTGCTTTTTACAGAAATCAGGTGCACTTGAGGCAATTTTGTATATTTTATAGTTTGAGAGTTTAAGCTGCTTTCTGGTTTGAATGATTAGTTGTGGGAATTTTTTAAGAATTGTGTAAAAATGCTTGAAATTTGCTGAATTTTTGATTTTAAAAATTCAAAAGTTTGAATTATTTATGGACGGATTCTAAGAATAAATTGGGTATGGCTCTAAATTAAAAAAATTCTGTATTCAAAATTCAATTACTTTTGCACAAAAAACCTGAAGAAACTCGAGAAACTCTGAATATTGCAAAATATTTCATAATGGCTAGTAAAAACTTTAAGTCTTGTGACATAGTTTGCAATAAGCTTATTCTTATACAATCTAGCAAAGTTTCCTAGAGCGTTGAACTCCTAGCTATAGATAGGTTGTAACAAATTACACAATAATGAGAAAATCGATAATTATATAGACTGGACATTATCGATTATTAATGACATGGAATGGGTAAGCTGATGGCTTGTACTTCTTGTTCATTGACTGCAAATATTGTGACGTTTACTTTAGGGATTATGAAGGGGAAAAAAAATTATTTTTTTAAAAATGGGAAAGTTTTTGTAGCGGTGGATTCAGTCATTCTGTGAAAACGGGCTTAGCTATATTGAAAAATTAGTCATGAATTTTGGACAGGTTAGATTCTACTTTTGGATCCTATTACAAGTTTATAAAAAATTATCCAAAACTCTTTTATCATTTAAAAAAAATTAAGCTTAAATAAAAAAAAATAAAAGCTTTCTTCCCAAAAGTTTCATGTGACAACAACATTAATATTTGTGTAGTGCAGTTTTACTGTACATAATTATCATTAGTTATGTTGTTTTTATTTTTATCTACTCATATGTCTATGGAATCTAAAGAATCACGCAACCTATATATTTATTTTGGATATAAATTTGAATATTTTCTGTGGAAAAAGTTTTTTATTGATTTTTTGGGATTATCATTGCAAATGCTTAAAAAATTGGAATTTCATAATATACAATTTTGAGTCTGAATCCAATCGATTCAATCCGCAAGCAATCTTGTAAATTAAACCACATTAATTCCTTCAAATCCACCACATTCAAATGTCCATAATCTGCGCTACTAAACATCCCAAAATAAACATTTTCTCCTTCAGCAATCACATTACATGTGTTCATAATATTCATTTTAAAATGAAGCACTTTACGTGCACGAAAAGCACTCTCGAGTCTCTTCATTCTTTCATTTTCTTCATTCTACATTCAATTCAATTCAGTTTCACATTATTTCTTACCTCCTTCGATGCACTTTTGTAATAATATAGAAGCATATTATGCGATACTTTGTTATCATTGCACAATATGAACTCATTTCTATTGTATTGTGTATTTTATGTGTATAAACTTGCATCACATTTTCATCCCTTGATACTCTTTTTCTCTCTTACATTTTACAATCGTAGTCGTTGAGTCATATCTTTTACATCTACTTATTTCTATCTTACTGTACTATCTACTGCACAAATTCATTCTACATGCAAATTAATATATATTGGATGAGTAAAGGTGAGAATGGTTAATGAGGTGAAAAGTCACTGGTTGGAGGAGTTACTTACTTGCAGTTTCTGCCTTGGATGAG